AGACAGATGTGGGATGGGAGGGGGAGACGAGGGAGCAGCCCGGGCAGGTTCGGGGTGCGGCCCTGTGCTCCACGGGGGGGACCCCCAGCGCCTTCAGCACGCCGGCTCCAGCCCGTGGCTTCCACGTCCCGGGCCCCTGAAGGGCCCACGCCGGTCACGAGGAACAGCGGAGCCGGGGCTGGCGCCGGGAGCGTCCTGGTGAGCCTAGGATGCCTGTGGTGGCAGAAGTGACCGAGGGTTCAGAGAATGATGAGCTCAGAAGCTTCTCAGAAGTGTGGACACAGCCCCACCAGCTCGGGGTGGGGGGGAGGTCCGGGACTCGGACGGGACGTGACCGCACAGGGCGTCCCGGACACGGCGGGTCTGGCGGGCGGTCACGTCCTCAGCCTGCAGCTCCCTGGACAAAGGTCGGTCTCTGCCGTGGAGGGACCCTGTGAGAGGACGCTTCTCCGACGTCGGTCTCCCGCCCGGTGCATCCGAGGCAGCCCACCCGGGAGACCTCCACGTGGTCCCCTCCTCCAGGCCCCTCGGGAGACCTCAGAGCCCCCCACGGTCCCCTCGGGGCCCCCGCCAGCTCTGCGCGCTAGCACTGTCCTCGGCCACCTGTACCGTGTGTGCGTGGAGGTCTCCCGGCCGCACTCTCCATCCAGTCCCGGAGTCCCCCCACTGCCCTTTCCCCGCCCCCTCGACCTGCGACCCGCGGAGTCCCTGTCCCTTTCCTTGGGTCGCCTCCGTGACCCTGAGGCATGAAATAAGCTGTAGAGGGCCCTGGCCGGGTGGTTAGAGCTTTGTCCCGATAGGCCAAGGTTGTGGGCTCCATCGCCCCCCCAGTCAGAGCACAGACAAGAAGCCAGCGGTGAGTGCACCAGTGAGTGGAACAACAGACAGATGCTTTCTTCCCTCTCGCTCACTCTCTCGAAATAAAAAATAAATAAATAAAAAGTGCAATCAAATAAGCTGTAAAACTGCCATTTTCCCAGAGCATATTCTCAGTCTGTTGAGATTTTGCTCCCTGTCAATGGTCGTCAGTTTGGCTCACATAAACTCATAAAAATTCTCTGTGAATGTGTCTGACGTGGACACAGGGAGTGGGCAAGGCGAGACGGAGGTGAGGGGGGAGACCAGGTTGGAGTGTGGTGTCGCTGGGAGGCGCCCCGGGGTTTGGCCGCAGGGGCCTGGTTCCGGGAGGGGGCCGGCCTGGCTGTCTGGAGTTCACACGGCACTGCGGATGGGCCCAGGCGCCCACGCCGCCCACGTGCTCTCCCGGGCTCAGAAACACGCCATGTGCACGTGGGGAGAGGGAGGCCAGAGCAACGGGCAACACCCAAACAACAGCCGGCCTGTCCGGCAGATGCCCGGGAGCTCCTGGTGCTGTTCTTGAGACTTTCTTCTAAGTTTCAAACAATATAAAAATAAGCCCCTGGCTGGTGTAGCTCAGTGGATTGAGCATGGGCTGAGAACCAAAGCGTCGCAGGTTCGATTCCCAGTCAGGGCACATGCCGGGGTTGCGGGCCAGGTCCCCAGTGGGGGCCATATCAGAGGCAACCACATACTGATGTGTCTCTCTATCTCTTTCTCCCTCCCTTCCCCCTCTCTAAAAATAAATAAATGAAATCTTTAAAAAAATGGCACAACTAGCATAATCAGTAAAATATATTTTAAAAAATAAAAAAATAAAACCCACCCCCCATAAAAGATGTACAGGAACCAGCTCAAGGGGTAGGTGTGGGGGGGGGGGTGGCTGGCTCAGTGGGGATCAATTTGAGCATCAAAAAAAGAGAGAATTGAGTGAAAAGAAAATCCATGAATTCATACTAATATTTGAGAATTGTTTAAAAGGAGGGGGAAGCATTTCCTTTTCTTTCTGCAGATTTGGTTTATTAGGGTGACGCTGGGTAACAAAATCACGTAGGTTTCAGGTGTATGAAACAGGGCCTGTTTGGGTGCACGAGTTTGCGACCGTAGGTGTGTAATGGTGGATGCAGGCAAGGGCCGCCCACTGATGAACCTGCTGACTAAACAGTTCCCGGAAAAACTCTGCGTTTGTGGCTTACTCACTCGACAGGGGACCTTGACCCCGCAGGAATCTGGCAGGCCCAGCACTGAGACTTCACGTGCCCGCCAACGGGACAGACTGATGCTTTGACCTTCTGATGGCCTGTCGTCTGCACCGCCGGCCGGCCCCGTGCAGTTAACCCCGGGGCGGGGTCAGACAGACTTGGCCTGTGGGAGACTCTCCAGGCAACAGGTCGGGGCTGTGACAGCGTGTTGGCACCTTGTGCCTCTCTCTGCAGGTGCGGGGATGCGCTGAGACGCTGGGGTTGATTTATTAAATTTTAGCTTGTTTTTAGGTGTTATGACTTAATTGAAATGTTAAAAAGATTTTATTTATTTTTAGAGAGAGGGGAAGGGGCGGGAGAGAGGGAGAGGAACATCAACATTTGTGAGAGACTCATCGATCTGTTGCCTCTCGTGCGCCCCCTGCTGGGGACCCAGGCTGCAATCCAGGCCTGTGCCCTGACTGGGAATTGAACCGGTGACCCCTGGGTTCAAAGGGTGGTGCTCAATCCACTGTGCCACACCACCCAGGGTGCTTATTTGAAATTTTTATTGTGATGACTGTGGAGTCACAGAGTCACATGCAGAGCGACACTGTGCTTTGTCCACTTTCCACACGACGGGAACATTCGGCAAAACTTCAGTACGCTCACACCACCAGGCTGGTGATGCAGAGACGGTGCGCCGTCTTCTCCCGGTTCTCTGGGACCCAGCCGTACGTCCCGGGAGGGCGGGTGTGCCAGACCCCGAGCGGCTCCATCTACAGCAGGTCCCTGGTGCTGTCCTCCTGGGTCCGCTTCAGTGCCTCCCCCGGCCCCACCACCACGAGCATCGGGCAGCCCTTACTGGTCCCGTTTCTAAACCGACCTTTCCCTTGCCCTGGGTAAGTGGGACCCTGCAGTGCGACGCAGCCTTTGGGGCGGCTTCCTGGCTGGCAGGCTTCCCAGGTGCTGCCTCCCTGCACTCGGCCCCCGGGGGGCTGGCAGAGGGCTGCCCCCGCACCCCACACCCCACTGCGGTGTGGACGGACCACAGGATGTCCACCCGCTCCCCTGCTGGGGTACGTCCGCACTTAACTCAGTGTGGGGCCGCTACAAATAGGGCTGCTAGGAACATTCGTGCAGAGATTGCCTTTTTTTTTTTAAGATACCAGATTTGCAAAGAAAAAGGTGAACCGAGAAGCTCCCGGCTGGGCTTCCATCTGCGCAGCCTCGCAGACCTGCCGGAGACGACCTGTGACCCCACGGTCCCCTCCGTGGCCCCTGCCGTGATCACGTTCTGGAACCCGGGCACCTCGGGCCTGGAATGGAGCCCTAGGACAGGGTGCCGAGTTTCAGGGAAGGCTGGGGGAGGCAAGCCCGGAGAGGCGGCCTTCCAGTGAGAGTGAACACAGGGCCCCCACGCGCAGGTTCTGACTGGAGGCAAACTGACTGGAGGCAAACTGACCGCAGGCTGGTGAGTGCCCCTCCTGCGGTGGGAGGGCGGGGGGCTCTGGTGTGTCCTGCCACCTGAATGTTTGGCTCCGGCCTGAAATAAACCTCTGTCCGAGGGGGTTTCCCCAAGGAGTCTTCCGGGTGTTTCCTGCCTCTGGAGGCTTGTCGAGCACCCCCGGGTGCCCTCATGGCACTTAGAGGCTGTCTCTGGGGTTTGCTCGTGTTTGTGCAGGCACGTCCCGGGGTCTCGGTCTGTCCTGCCCGGTCTTCCTGGACTCCGGCCCGGCCCTGCCTCTCCCGCTTCCCCCGCCGGTGTGCCTGCTGCCGCCTGCAGCACCCAGCAGCGGGAGGCGGCTGTGCCCTCGGGGGAGCGAGTGTGGTCTCTCTGCTCGGGAAGGGCCGCTCCTCCGGCAGATGTTTGCTGAGCCCCCACCCCGTGCCGGGCTCGCTCCTGCGTGTCAGTGTGGTGCAGGCCGGGCGGGCCGGCCAGCCGGGGCGGAGGCAGACAGTAAACAAGCGAGCAGGCACGGAAGGCCTGTCCCGGCGCACGTGAGGCCCGGGGAAACCCCCGCAGGCCGAGGGGCTGAAGAGGCCGGGCTGGGGGTCACTTGGGGTGCAGGGGGGCTTGGCTGCCACGGCGCTGCTCATGGGGTCCTGATGAGCTGAAGTATATGGGGTTGGAAAGCTGGACCAGGCACTGGTCAGAGATGCCCCAAGGGCGTCTTCTCCGAGGCCCCGTGTGCCCAGCCAGACACAGATGGGACCCATGGGAGCCAGTAGGAGTGGACGGGTCCAGGCAATGGCAAGGAGGGGCAGGCAGGTCGGGGGGCTGTATCCCCAGTGCTCCCACGCAAATCTCTAACACGCACGAGGGTGTCTGTCGGTCAGTACGGGGTGCGTCTGAGGCGCAAGTGCCACCTACAGGAAGGCGGGCCGACATCCACCCAGGAGGAGTGGTGGGATCCCACACAGCCCTCCTCCCCACCGCCTACACACGTTCTCGCGAGAGTTGAGCTGCTGCTGGAGCGAGCCTGGCACCGACGGTGTGGGGCTCTCATCTCCTCTACTGAGCCTGCTCTCTGCACCTAGGGCTGTCTCTTTCACGCCGCCCCTGCGGCCGAGATAACCTCCGGGGACTGGGAACCTGGGGGAAAGAGCAGGGACAGGGGGGCTGGGCGCTGTAGTGGAGGGGCCTCGATCGCAGGGCGAATGGGACCCAGGACAGGCCGGAGCGCAGTGGCCCAGAAGGGGACCACTGGGGAGTCCAGGCCTCGGGGCGCTTGCGTCCCGCACAGCCTTCCTCTTCTTGCCGTCGGGGCCACGCGGCGGTGCGAGCACGGCCCGCTGGACGGTTGGGGTGAGCATGCGCTCCAGTTCCCTCCGCAGCCAGGACAGGGGGCGGGGCCGGGACATCGGGTGGGGCTCGGGCGGGGGCGGGGCCCGGGCGTGTCCGGAAGCGCACGCCGGCCCCGCCCCGCGGCCGCGTGGCTGTCTGTCCGGGCTGTTACCGATAAAGTTGTTTGAAGCTGAGCCGGCGGCGACGGGTCACGTGAGCGGAACATGGCGGCCCCGGCAGGCGGCGGGGGCTCCGCGGTGTCCGTGCTGGCCCCAAACGGGCGGCGCCACACGGTGAAGGTGACGCCGAGCACCGTGCTCCTGCAGGTGCGGCCGTGGGCGGCGGGCGGGGAACACCGGGCGGGGGGCGAGAGCGGGGGGGCGCCGCGCCCGGCGGGCTTCCGCGGTTGGCTCCGGGGGGGCGGGGGCGGGGCCGGGGCGGGGCCCTAGGCACCCAATGAGCGGCCTGCAGGCGGTAGGGCCCGCCCACTTCCGCGCTGGGTTCCTGAACTCCCAGGTCCCTGCGTGTCTAGGGCTGGGGGGTCAGACTGGCGAGGTTCGGCACGTCTGCACCCCTCGCCGAATCCACGGCGCGCCGGAGCTAGCCTCCGGGGCCCCCGGCCCGTGTCCCCATGCTGGCGGGTCCCCTGGCCGGTGTTCGCACGGCTGGGTGTGCCGGCTTTTGTGCCTGGAAACTGTCTTGCTGAGTCAGTTGCTGCACTTGCACCGGGCAGCTGGTTGACCCCGAATCCATCACATTAGAAATGTTTCCTGGTCCCTGCTGTGGAGGGGACAGTGCGCACACCAGGGTCTGCCGGAGGGGCCCCCCGGGTGGGGTGGGGGGCCTCTGCATGCAGGACCCGCTCCAGCTGGCAGTGTGGTGTCGGCTCTTGGGGAGAAGGGCGGAGCGCTGCGGGCAAAGGGGCAGCTTTGGACCTCGTTCCCCGTGAGTGGGGGAGGGGTCTGGAGTGTGTGTAGGGAGATGCCTTGTGATGGCCTGCGGGGACTGGCCTGGAGACGGCCCAGCAGAGCTGGGCTGACCAGCCAGGCCCAGGGAGGAGAGGACCGAGAGCGGGAGCTCGTGAATGAGGCACACGGAGCGGTGGAGTGGGCAGTCCCTCCCGTGGCTTTACTAGGCTTTGTCCAGCAGAGCCAGCCAGCCCCCTGGGAGACCTCCTGCCGCCTCTGTGCCACTGCGCCTGTCAGCCCCGCCCCCTGGCCAGCGCCGAGCTCACGGCCTCTCTCTCGCCCCGCCCCCAGGTTCTGGAGGACACGTGCCGGCGGCAGGACTTCAACCCCAGGGAATACGACCTGAAGTGAGTTTGCTCTGGCCAGGCTTCCGTTCTCGTCCGTCCCCACCCCACCCCTAGGGCCTGCCCAGGAGCTTAAAGCCGCAGAAGTCTGTCTTCTCTCAGTTCTGGGTGCCAGGAGGCTCACGCAAGGTGTTGCAGGGCTGGCTCTCCTGAGGTTCAGGGGAGGATGCTTCCCGCCGGATCCACCTCCTGGTGGCTCCAGACATCCCTGGGCTTGTGGCCACATCGCCCACACCCCTGCCTTCTCCTAACGTGGCTTCTGCTCGTCTGTTTCTCCCCTTCTCTCTCTCACGAGCACCTGTCTGATCTGGGATGACATAGTCTCCAGATCCCTAACTCAGTCACAGCTGCAGAGTCCCCCTGTCCAGACGAGGTCACTGTCCTGAGTCGTGGGGTCAGGATGCGGGGTCAGATCTTTGTAGGGGCCACCACGCCATCCACCCACTGCGCAGGGCTGTGGGGCACTTGGCTGTGCGGTTCCCGGGGCTCTGAGGGCGCGAGGAAGGGGTCGTGGGGACGTGGGGGGAGGCCTGCACCGCGGGTGACGCAGTGGCGCCTCAGCCCCTTGGGTGTTCAGGGGTCAGCTGTAATTGGTTGCAAAGCGCCGCCCCTGCCAGGGAGGGCAGCCTCGGCAGGCGTGCGTGCGTGCGACCCTCCCCTGCCTCCGGCCCACGTCCCGGCTCGCACTGGGCTCTCGCACGGGGAGTGGAAGTTGTGCGAGCCTCTGGCCTGGTGTCAGAGTGCCTCTTCCTCACACGTCTGAAGGCCTGCGCCTTACAAGCTCCTGTGTTCAGAAAACCACCTTGTTCCCAGCGGGTGCTGGCCTGCAGGCCGCCGGTGACCACTCTGCCCCGGTCTCACGCGGTCTCGCCGGTGCCCTGGCCTCTCCCTGAGCTCCCGTTAGAAGTGGAGCTCAGGCTGGACCAGTGAGCGCCATGAGCCCCCCCCCCGCTCATGAGCGCGGTGACCCACTCTCCGTGCCCCTCACGCTCGCGGCCGCGTGGTGCCGGGGCTTTGCCAGGCACCGAGGGCAGAGCTCTTCTCGGACCCGGTGGTCCGCAGGGTGGACGATGGTGGTTCTCGTGGGGGTCCTGGGAGCTGGGGGGTGGGGTGGGAGGAGAGGGGCCAGGGTCAGGAAGGCTCGGAGGCCGCTGGGCCTGACCCCCGACCCTGGCCCACGGTTGAGGCGGGCTCTGCCCGCCCCTCCTGCGTCTCACCGCTCCTCCCGGGAGCCCGCCGTGGCCCCAGCTCTAGCTTCGGCCGCCTGCTGGCTCTTCTCACCCAAGCCTCTCGCTGTGAAGGGGGCGGCGCGTGGCCCTGGGTGGCGGCCGCCCGTAGTGACCCGCAGGCAGGCCAGGGCCCCGGGGTCCCCTCCCATCCCTAGGAAGGCCGAATCCGGCCCTCCACCTTGTTGTATCTGCCCAGCACCTTGTTTCTACCCGGCGGCAGCACCGCACTCCTTGCCCCTGGTTACGGAGCAGTTGCACGTACACAGTCCTAAAACTGCGCTCGGCCCTTCGAGGGCCCCCGCAAGGCTGCTGTGGCCCCCAGTGAACGTGAGTTTGACCCCCGGCTCTGGAGCCCTTGCCTCCCGACCGGGTTGGAGCCCTGCTCAGGTGGCTTCTCCAGCCCTGCGCCGCCCCCTCCCCCCCCAGCTGGCCCGCTCGCTCCTGGCTCTTCCCTCTGGACGGCGCGCCGTCGCCAGGAGCACACGCCGGTGTGTGCCGGTCCCGGCAGCTGCGGGCCCCTGGCCCGGGTGCCTCAGATGGCACCGACGGGCCGTGCCGGGCCCCGCGGGCAGCTGGGGGCCGTGCTCTGCGTTGCAGGTTTCAGAGGAGCGTGCTTGACCTCTCCCTGCAGTGGAGGTTCGCCAACCTGCCCAACAACGCCAAGCTGGAGATGGTGCCCGCCTCCCGCAGCCGCGAGGGGCCCGAGAACACGGTAGGTGCCCGGGGCGGGGCGGTGGTGCCGCTGCCCCCGGCCCCCCTGGCAGGCTGTGGACTGCGGGCGCCACACAGGCCGGCAGTGGGGGCTGGGCGGGGTGCGTCCTACAGGCAAACCGCCTTCCCGGGGTCAGGCAGAGCCACCTCCCACTGTGGCGGTTGGGGTGGGGGTGTGTCCTTGGTGGTGAGTCACCATCAGGGGTCAGTCGCTCTGTGGCCCCCTCAGAGGGTGGGCAGCAGCTCCCAGCCCCCCAGTTCCGGTCACAAAGCTGTCACCAGTGCCAGAGCCTGCAGAGGGTGGAGAGGCCGTGGGGCGGTCTCCTCTGTCCCGTCTGGGCCCCCAGCCGTCCGCCGGGTCGGCATCCAGAGGCCCCAGAGATCAGGAGGCCGGCCGCGGGGAGTGCCCCCCGCAATGCCCATGGCCCTCGCCCCGTGACTGCCGTGCCGCCTGCGCCCCCAGGGAGACGGCGCCCGCAGCAGGCAGGCCGAGGGTGCTGACCCCAGTGCCTCCCGCTGCGTCACGACCGCGGTGCTCGGCCTTTCTCGTGGGGGGAGCCCTGACGTCCCTCGAGGGCCTCGGGAGATGACGCCTGTCACGGGGGGCAGCTCCCCCTTCGTTCCGGGGCTTCACGTCAGTGCGCCCTCGAGACGGACGCCCTTGGCGGCGGCAGCAGGCCTCGCTGTGACTCAGAGAAAGGGGCAGCCCCGGCTGGGTGCCCGGTGGGGCGAAGTGCCGTCCCGTGTGCCAAGGTTGCAGGTTCGATCCCCGCTCAGGGCACATCCAGGACTCAGCCAGTGAGTGCGTGGATGAGCAGACAAGAGTTTGTTGTCTCTCTCTCTTTCTGCAAGTTTTTAAAAAGATGTGTGTATGCACGTATGTATTTATTTTTAGGGAGGGGGAGGGAGGGAGAGAAAAATCTATTAGTTGCCTCTTGCTCGTCCCCAACCAGGGACTTGGCCGCAGCCCAGGCCTGTGCCCTGACTGGGAATTGAACCGGTGACCTTTCAGTGTGCAGGTTGGCACTCAGTCCGCTGAGCCTCTTGAGCCCGGGCTCAAATACAATTTTTTAAAAAATCTAAAAAGGAGAAACAGGCCGGGCCACAGCGGGGGTCCAGGGGGTGCTTGAGGTTGGCCGTCCGCCCCCAGGGCAGTGAGCTCGGGTGAGCTCAGGTGCGCTGTCGCTCGGGGGAGGGGGCAGAGGGAGTTTTTCCTCTTCCGGGTTTTAGGCTTGGGTCCCACTTTGGGGGCACGATCGTTACAAACGGGCTAACGCGCGGAAACATTGTATCCGGTAACAGGGAAAAGTTCACAAAATGAGATGCATTTGTTTTTCCTGGCTGCATGGCCACGTGCCCCCAAACCCGGCAGCTGGAGGTACAGCAACATGCAGAGTGTGCAGGGGGCAGCGCCGGCCTGCCGTGGTGCCCCCCGCCCCAGGCCCCCCATCCCAAGGCCCCGGGAGCAGGGCGACTCGGCCCCCCCCGACTCAGTCTCGCTGTCCCCCAGGTGCGCATCGCTCTGCAGCTGGACGATGGCTCCAGGCTGCAGGACACTTTCTGTTCCGGCCAGACACTCTGGGAGCTTCTCAGCCACTTCGCAGAGACCCGGTGAGTGTCGGGCGTGGGCTCCGGCCCCAGCCGTCGGGGAGCCACAGACCTGGCTCAGGGACGGGCCGGCGGCGGCGGGGTCAGCCGTGCCGGTAGGTGCTGGGTGTGGGCAGCGTGTCGCTGCAGCTGGCCCTGGGCCCCTCGGCGGACCGGTGTCCGAGGTGTGACACCCTGACCGGGAGGGTGGCTCAGGTCTGAAAAGGAAGTTACTCTCCACGGTGGTGGGTGCGCGTCAGTCTCTGGCCGGCGAGATGGGAGCCTCCCCGCCGGAGAAGGGACCTCGGGGTGTCAGGCTGCGCCCCACTCGTGCGGAGTAAACCGCAGACAGGGACGAGGCCCCGCGGGATGGGGCCGCCCTCCTGGGAGGGGCCGGGAAGACCTCAGCTGACGGGGCAGGGACCCCGGGGCGCTGGCCACAGCCACCCGGGGACCCCCTGCTGCGGAGTTGGTGAGAGCCCCACGCGGGGAGAGCCTGCTCGCCGTGGGGCCTGGTCCCTCGGGTGCAGGTGGGGAGGAGTCCGGTGAAGACTCCCTGGGGGGGGGGGCACCCGTGGTTCGGGAGAGCCCTGCAGAGCGGGCTGCCTTCTGAGCTGCCCAGTTCAGGGGCCAGTTCAGGGGCACGGAGACGGCTCTCTGAGTGGGGGGGGAGTCGGCGACGGCAGGAGGTCCCACGCCGGCGGGCTGGACGGCTGCGTGGACGTGAGTTGTCAGTGACCCGGGAGTGTTGTCCCGAGTGCGTCTTGCTTACGAGTCAGTCACGCGTCTCCCCAGAAACTCCCTCGGCGCCGGCCCCCCGGCTCTGCGGGCCGGTTGCGTGGGGGCTGCTCCTGTGCGCGCCCAGGCCCCGGGTCCGTCCACCGGGGTGCAGACAGCGCGGGTCTGCGCGCACCCCCCCCCCAGTTCTTCCCTAGGGGGAAATTCTGGGGGCAGAGTTGCTGGGCCCACAGCTAGAGGCGTCGCCAAGTTCCAGCTCGAGAGGCCCCTGAGCCCGGCCTCTCCTCGGGCCTGCTGTTGGGCGGAGCTCACCGGCCTCAGCCCCGGAGCCCTGGCCAGGCACCCGGTCGGCTGCTGGGGGGGGGCGGGGCCTGGGACTTTGGATCCCCGCAAGGTGGGACGAGCAAGGAGCTGGCTTTTCTCAGGGAGCGCTTGGGGGAGAGGCCAGCGCCCCAGGGCCAGAGGCGTGCAGGTCGCGGCAGGAACCAGGGGAGCACGTGCGGGCTGCTCGGGGGTCGCTGAGAGTTCTCTGGCGGCCACGGCCCAGGAGAGCAGAAACGGACAGTTAACGTCAGGAATTTGATCGACTTGGCGCAGTGTATCCAGGATGTTACCCTGCAAACACGTACTCACAGGAAAAATCAGGTGTTTTTCTGCACCCTTTGTGGTGGGGCGTCTCTCCTGGAGCAGACGCCCCCTTGGCTGGCCCGCGAGCCCCAGCTTGGGGCCCACGGGGGGCCGGTAGCTGCCTCGGTGGGCACTGGCCTGGGCCGGTGGTCCACCCCTCGGGCGTCTGCCGCAGGGAGGGCCGCCCCGAGGCAGGTCTCCCCCACGGCCCTGGGCCTCGGCTCCCAGCCCGAGGTCAGAGCCACGCCGCAGCTCAGAGTCCGTGCTGCCTGCTGCCTGTCCTGCCGAGGGCAAACCCGGGGCCTGGAGTGCGCCTGGCTGGGCCGGGTGGGCTGTGTGGGTGCCTCTCCTGGGCTCGCGCTGGGGCAGGGTGTCCGTCCGCAGCCCTCGGGGCAGCCCGGGCGTCCTCTCGGAGCTCGCAGGCCGAGGCCACTTCCCCTTGCAGCTGCCCCCGCGCTGCCTGCCCTGGAGGGGGGGGCCGGCCGCCTTGCTCCCCTGAGCTTGTTGCTGTGCAGTGTGGGTGGGCGCCGCCTGGCCTCCGGGGTGCGGCCTCGCTCCAGGGGGGCCTGCAGTGGGGGCGGGGGCCCCTCTGAGCCTGGAGTCACCCCTGGGGGTGCGGACTGGCTCTTGTGGTTCTGGCCTGGGGCGTGTGGTACCGCGACTCGGTCAGGCCAGGGCGGACGGACTGAAGGGGCTCCAGACACTCGGCCTGCCCCCAGCCGGCCTGGGGGTGGTGGGTGGGTCGTAGCCCGCTCCTGTGGGGGCAGCAGGGGTAAAGCCACCAGCATCCTGTGGGCCCTGCCTGGCTGTCCCCACTGCCCTTGCCCGACCAGGGCTCTTGTCCGACTGGCCGATGGAGCGAGACCGCGGCGGGCACTGCCCCACCGGGCCAGGCCGGGTGCTGTCTGGGGAGGGCGGCAGGCGGGCGCCCTGCGGAGCTCTGCATCACGCCCTGGTCCGGGGTCCCGTCTTGAGTCCAGCTCGCGGGGCCCCTTGGAGACGAGACGGTGGGGGGGGCGGCGAGGTGGCCAGCGAGGGGCCGCTCCCTGATCAGCCGCGGTGCCCCGGGCGGCCGGGGAGCCTGCGGATCGGCCGGGCGGTCTGGAAGTGATTGCGGCCGCCCCGCCCGCCCTCGCGTGCGCACAGGCGTCGCCCGCGGCCCTGCTGGGAACCCGATCCCTCCGGAGGAGCTGCACTTCAAAGCCGGGCCGGCGTTTGATGTCCACAGGCCTCCGAGGGCAGGAGGCGAGCGGCTCTCGGCCCTGGTTGTGATTTGTGGTCCCGCTGGCGCTGGGTCCCGGGGGCGGGGGGGGGCGGAGGGACTGGGACTGGCCGTCGCTCTGGCAGGTTGGGGGCTCGTGTATTCGAGGAGGCCTGGGGTCACTGGGTCCTGGGGAGCCGGGCCCCCGGCCAGACCCGCTGTTGCTGTTGCTGTGGTTGAGGCTGTCAGCCTGGGTCTCCCACTTCCTGCGGGGACCTCGGGGGCGCAGCCAGGTTGGTGGGTCCAGGGCTTGGGCCGGGGCCGGGCGCACCTCCCCAGGGGCCCCCACCCCCTTCAGCTGGCTCTGGACTGTGGGTCCCAGCTCGGCCCGCCGCACGCAAGCAAAAGCTACACGCAAACGACAGACGTGGGCAGAACCCACGCCAGAGCCACACGGAGGGCGCAGCCGCGGCTGCCGGCAGCCAGGGCCCCTGCCGCCTCTGGTTCCCGGCAGCCCGACTCCGGCGGCCTCTGGCCCCGCCGCGTCCACGCGGGCGTGAGCCGCGTGCCCCGAGGTCGCCTGGGCCTCCTGCCCTGCGGGCGCAGCCCCGGGCCGCTCTGCAGGGGAGGGTCCCGCCCACCCCTCCCCGTCAGGGGCTGCGGGGGTGAGCCCGCCCGCGGGCTCCAGTGCTGGCCCCGGCTGCAGCCCGTCCGCTGGTGGTCGGCGGGCCTGCGTGGCGTGAACTGGTGGTGGTGTGCATGTGCACGTGAGTGTGTGTGTGTGAGTGTGCACCCGCCCTCCCGCCGGCCTGCGCGCCTGCCCAGCTGTGCCTCCAGCGGCCGCTCCGGCCCTCCTCGGGGTTCCGTGCTGTGTCCCTGGGGCTTCCCGCCCGTCTGCCCCCCGGCCCCTCAGGGCCGAGGGTCTCAGACGGCCCCGTGCACCAGGGTCCCCCCCCCCCGACCCCCCCAGCCAAGCCTTCCGCTTCGCTTTCCTTGCTCGTTGGTGACGGGACGTCGGAGGCCCTGGAGAGCGCGCTGTGTGGCCCCGTCCTGCGTGACCACGTAGACGCCTGGACACGGTCACACCGCCCTTCGGGCCTCCCGCCCCGGGTGCAGGTCGCAGGCGCTGGCCTAGCGCGAGGCTCCTGGGGGAGACCGGCCCGTCCGCCCCAGCACTGCCTACGGGTCTGGGCAGAGGGTCACTCAGCAGATTTGTGCCCCGAGATGCTCCTGGCACTGCTGGGGTCGGCGACCTTCCTGGAGGGTGGCCCAGGTCGCGGCCCCTGGGCCTTGCGCTTGGCTGACCCTGGGCACACTTGTCAGTGACACGGGTCTCGCCTGGGAGGTGGCGGCGGCTGCTTGTCCTCTGCTCTGTGTCCTCCCTGCACCGAGCCCGGAGGCCGAGGCCAGCGGAGACCCCGGGCCGTGTGCTGATGGCCCGCAGTGGGGTCCCCTCCCCTCGGCGGGGGCAGCGGGGTGCGGGTGCCCTCTCGAGAGCACGGCCCGCCGCACGCCGGAGGCCGCCTGTGACGCCCCCCCCCCTCCCCCCGCAGGGCGTGTCTGGAGCAGCCGTGGGAGGCCAGCCCGGTCTGCGTGTACATGAGGGACGAGGTAGGCGCTGGGGCCCCACCCGCTGGCCCGCCCGGCCCGGTTTCCACTCTGGAACGCGCACCCGCCCGGCCCGCCTTCAAAGCGGCGGCGGCGGCGGGCGGGCGGCTCTGAAGGGCGGTGTGTTCCGTGGAAAAAGCAGGGCCCGGCTCCGCGGCAGCCGCCCCCGGAGCCGCCCTGTTTGTTTTCTCAGCTCCGCTCCCAGCCCAAGAGCCACAAGAGTGGTTTCATTTTAATAAATATTTGCTTTGCTCCTTTTTGATGTTTTTCAAAACCGAGGCCAGCGTGCTGCGGGCCCCGCCAGGCAGAGGCGCTGCCTGTCCCCGCCCGCCTGCCCGTGACGGGGACCCTCCTGGCGCTGGGTCCCCTGGCACACAGGGGCTTTTTGTTTGGGCCCTGGCGGGGTGCCCTTCCCTGGCCTGGGGCGGCCACTGTCCCCGAGGGGCCGTGGGAGGCCCCGGTGTGGGGGAGACAGGCCCCCGGGGCTGCGAAGGGGGAGGGGTCCCAGGCTGCTGGAGGAAGGGGCCTGTCATCCCCAGGAGGAGATGGGCGCCTGGGCCCAAACAAGGGCCGTCGTGGTCACTGCAGCCCTCAGAGGACTGGTCACTCGGCCACGTGTGGCCAACCCAGGCCCGAGCCTGCCTGCCCGGGCCTCGGGTGCCGGCTGGGCCGCATCAGCGCCCAGGCAGAGGGGGTGTGGCCGTGGGCAGGACCTTGGTGTCTCCCCTGGGCCAGCGAGGGGCCGGGGGTAGCTGGGGCCCACCCGTCCCATCTTCCCCGCGCAGGTGGCTGGAAGAGCTGCCCTGCAGAGCACGACGCTGCAGTCGCTGGGCCTCACCGGGGGCAGTGCCATCCTCAGGTGAGGCGGGGCCTCGGGGCCTCGTGTGGTGGGGGAAGTGGGGTCTCAAGGGAAAGGGGTGGGGCCCTGTGGGCGGGGCATGGGGTGGGCGGGGCTGTGGACACCAAGGCCCCATGCTGAGCTTCACCCCCGTCTGGCCCACAGGTTTGCCATGCGGCCGAACGACTCTGCCACCGGGCCGCAGCCTGGGGTCTCCCAGAGCAGGAGCCCGGCCAGCCCGGCCGCTGCCTTGCCAGCCCAGCAGGTGGCCAGCAGCCCGCTGCTCCCCTGGGACTCCGAGGGGCTCAGCCGGGGCGACGTGAGCCGGCAGGACGGAGCGGCCGCCTCGGGGGCTGGCCCCGTGGACAGTACGGGCCCGAAGCCTGCAGACACCCCGGCAAAGCCGACCTCCAGGGAGCCCCCGCCCGCCCCCTTCGTGCCTTTCTCAGGGTGGGGGCAGCGCCTGGGGGGCCCCTGTGGGTCTGCACGGTGTCCACCGTCGCCTAGGCTGCCCAAGTCCTTCTCCAGCCCCGGGGGCCCCTCCAAGCCAAAGAAGTCGAGGCCCCCGCCAGAGCCGGAGCCGGAGCCAGACCCAGAGCCGGTAAGCAGTGAGCTGGGCATGGGAGTCCTTCCTCCTGACCGTACCGCACCCCTGGCCCTGCAGCTTGCAGGCCTGTGACGAAGTGTCCGAGCCCGCGGGCCCCAGCTGCCACCCTCCCCCCGCCCAGCTCCGGTGCACAGGCGGCTGCCGTCCGGGCGTCCGGCCGGCTCTGCAGCAGCACCGAGCCACCTCTCTCCAGTCGGGTCGGGTCAGTCTTCGCGCCTCTCTGGCTCCCTCAGTGCTCACCTGTCCCCTCGTCTCACACCCGCCTGCGCCGACCCACCGGAGTGCCCTGCGCGTGGGCCGTGCTGAGCGGGCGGGAACGGGTCAGGGAGCACGCTCTGCAGGCCTCGGGACCCCCCAGTGCTCCAGGGACCTGTCAGTGCTCTGAGGCACTGCCCCCCAGGCGCTGCCGGCCCTCCGCGGGTCGGGCTGGTCCTGCCGCGGCCAGAGCTGCCCAGAGGGAGGACAGGCAGGGGCCGCCCGTGAGACCGGCTCTCTCCCCGGGGGCGATGCCGAATTGTCCCCTCGGAGCACCTCTGGGACTCTGCAGCTGGGGCTCCCTGACAGCGCCCCCGGCGTCTTTGGGAACAGGCAGCGTTGTCGCCGTCGGCCCCGGGGGGTGGGGGCCTGTCCCCCGGACTGCTTCCTCGGAGGCTCAGAGACCCCCGCCTGTTGTCAGGGAGGGCTCACTGCGCCCCCGGGTGTGGTCCCCTGGGCTGTGCCCCCGAGTCCCGCTCCGCGGGCCTCCGCTCAGCCTCTGGCTGGCGGCCGACCCTAAGCATTGCGAACACCAGGAGAGGCCTTTCGGTGGTGCCAGCCTGGCTCGCCGCCCGGGCCACACGCCGTCCCCTTTGCAGCCCCCAAGGCCGCAGGCGTGGGTGGGCGTCGCCCTGGGACTCGGCCGCTGCCTCGGCCCGGTGCTCAGGCCCGCCCCGCCCCCGCAGGGTGCGCGCGCTCACACGCATGCCCGTCCTCGACGGCGGTGGGTGCAGGGGGTCCCACCGCCGACACCGGCTTCCCTCCCCGGACCACCCTGCCGGGGGGCGGGGCGGGGTGCTCCGGGGTGGGGGGAGTCGCTCGGAGCAGCCCAGGGGGGCCGGGGGCCTGGCCCGGGGTGGGGGGGTCGCCTCCGCGCGTCTCTGGCGTCACGTCTCTGACGTCACTTCGGGCAGCTTCCGGTCTCCGCGGCGGCCCCGCCGGCTCCTTCGCTCCCTTCTCTGCACAAACCGCCCCCCCCCCGTGGGCGCCCCTGTCCCGACCCCGGTCCTGCGGGGTCAGCCTGCGGCTTCTCTGGGGGGGGCTGAGCTGTGGGAAGCTTTCACGGAGTTGAGGTTTCAGTCTGAGTTTTCTGAGATTTTTTTTTTTTCGGTTGAGCTGTACCAACTGCGTTTCCTTCGCCGAGACCGCCCTGCGCCTCTCCCCTCCCTCAGCACCCTTGCGTGGCGAGGCAGTCCCCCGCCCGGCCGGCCCGTGCACCCCTCTCCGGCCGCGCCGTCGGTCACGGGAACTCCCGCGTCAGTTTGGCTCCCGGGGCCGACGCCGCCCGCCCACCTCCCGTCCGCCCGGGAGCCCCTTCCTAGTTCTGCCTCCAGGTCAGCCACCTGGGGAGGCGGGAGGGTCGGGGCGCCTGTGCCTGTCCGGCGGGGGGGTCCGGGCGGGCTCGGCTGTGGAGTGGAACCCTGCAGAGGGCAGGTGGCTGGGCTCACTCCTCCCCACACCACGACACGTTGGTGCTCCTTGCTGAGTGGACTTCGGGGGGGGGGGGCGGGGGAGGGGCGCAAAGCAGTGCTGAGTTCCATGAGCGTTTATCCTGGGGGGCCCCAGCCCCCGGGGGATGCTGCTGGCTCCTACGCCAAGCTCTGGGCCAGGTCAGAAACTGGTGTGCACCCCCCAGTCCCAGTCTCCGTCCCCTGGGTCCAGAATCAGCCAATGTGGTGGGTTGAGCGGGTGCTGGGGGGCCGGATTCCCTCCGGGCGTGCTCTTCCCCCCGGGGGCCTCTGGGTCTGGCGCGGACACGGCAGCCAGGGCTGGCTGCCTTTTTCTCCCAGCCTGAAGGTGCAGAGGTTACATGAAGTGGGCCCTGGCCCCCTGGCCCCGGAGGCCCTGGCTCTCCGCCTCTCTTGGGGACCTGCTGAGGGTCCCATGGGCATCTGGGGGTGGCCTGGGCTTGTGCGCCCCCCCTCCCCCCGGTAGGTGGGTGCTGTTGGGCCCAGGACCCCAGTGCATCCATCGCCAGTGCTGACCCTGGGCCCCAGGCAGGCGGGGTCCGCCCAGCCGCCCGCGGTGCTGCCTTTGATCTGGGGGACCCGGCAGCTGGCTGCTGGCGGAGCGGCCCCCGCCCGCCTCGCGCCTCCTGTCCCTGACAGCCGCACGCCCGGAGGGCCGGCCGGCCACATGGTGTCTGCTTTGTGTCCCTTTCCAGTGCTGGGGGAGGGGGGGAGGGAACAACGCAGAACTTTTGGGGGAACTTCAAAGGTACACTTCAGTAATCAAAAAGAGCTCCCAAGTTTCCCATTAACGTTCTGCCTGTGTGTGGTTTTTGGATTTAAATAAAGAGCCGAAAGAGACAGGATAAAATACAGGCAGGTCCTCGGCGGAGCCCCGGGATGGTTTGCAGACCCGGCGGCCCCTGCCTTTGATGTCGGAACGTTAATTATTAGAAGGTAGTTTAACTGGCCATCGGAACGGGCCGGGGAGAGGCTGGGGCTGCCGGGCGGCCCCTGGCCTGCCCTTTGAAGTCCCGCCCCGGCTGGGAGGCGCGCCCTGCTCTGTGCACGCAAGCGGCCGTCCCCGCAGGCGCTCCCCACGCAGCTGGCACGGGGTCCCTGATCAAAGCCCCGTCCCCTGGGCGGGGCGGGCGCTGACAGCGGGCCCCCCACCCGGTCCCCTCCCTCCAGAGACCGGGACCGGGGCTCTTCCTCCGTCCCTTGCCCCGTCCCCTGTCTGGGGCGGGCGCAGCCTCCCTCTGTTTATCCTGTTCCCACGATGGGCAGGGGGCCGGGCGGGGGCCAGCTGCCCCCCTCCTCTCGGCCAGGCGCCCGCCCGTGACACCCCTCCAGAGCAGGCCCAGGGCCAGGGTCCGGGGCAGCCTCGGCTGGAAAGCCTGCTGGGGTCTGTCCGAGGACAGGGCCGCAGTTCCTGGAGCCTAGTGCCGGGCAGGTGCCCTCCAGCCACCTGTCCTGCTGGGTCTCCTCCGGGGTGGGCTTCAGGGAGTGACGGATGCCCAGCGGCCAGGTTCTCAGACCCCCATCCTGACTGGGCCTGAGGGGGTCTCTGCAGGACCCACGCCCTGAGAGCAGCTGTCGGGCCTGGGGGCGAGGAGACCCTGACCTGACCTCAGTCCTTGGGGGTTCACCCCCCTCACCCCCAGCGGGGCGCCCCGCCACCCAGCCTGTGGGTGTCCCTGCGTGCTGCTGAGGAAGCGTGTTCTCCTCCTGCCCGAAGAGGTGGGCGGGCCTGGCGGGGCCGGGGCTGGGGGCCCGTGCCTCCGAGAGCTCTGTGCTGAGGTCTGGGCGTCCGGGCGGTCCCGCCCGCGCGGACTGTTGCTGCGTCCACTCTGTGGCGTTCCCTCCGGGGCGGCTGGCTCCCGGGGCGCCTCGGGAGGCTTGGCCCGCGGCCCTGCGCGGTGGCTGGGTTCCGCTCCAAGCCTCAAGGGGAAACGCTTCGCATTCCCGGTCGCCCAGCCCCGGTCTGGGGGGCAGCCTGGCTGCGGGGGCGGGGCGGGGGGGGCGGGGCGGCACGAGGGAGCGGGAATCTGGGCTGAGGTCACCTCCAGACGGTTTCCACATTCTTTCTCCGGGCGTCATCGCGTCCTGGAAAATTACTGTCAGGAAGACGAACCCTCAGCGACCACTTCTGACACGAGGGCGCCCCGTGCGCCCAGGCGGGCTGCCAGCCACTTGTGTGGCGGCTGCCGGAGTGTGTCTGCCGCCGGGCTGGGGGCCCCTCGCCCCCTCCGCGTCCAGCCCGGCTGTGCCTGTTGCCTGGCCGAGCTCTCCCGCCTTGTTCCCTCGGGTCCCCCTCGGGGCCCTTTTCCGACGGCGCCGGTGGCTGTCTGCAGCTGGCAGCAGTCCCCGGGTCCCCGCCGCTCTACGGCCTGGGCGACGGCCCAGCCTTCGTCCAGAGCGGGCCGTCACCCGGGCCCCGAGAACGTCGGCCGAGGAGGGTGCTCCCGTCCCTCCCACTTGCCTCCCGGGCCACTGGCCCCTGTCACCTGGCTGCCAGCAGCCGTCACCAGTGGGGTGACACCGCGCTCTCAGCGAAGGCCCCTCCGCTGCGTGGACCTGCACATGCAGGCTGCAGAGGTCAGCTGTCAGCAGTGCAGAGAAGGGTCTGGGCTCCGTCGTTCAGAGCCCGAGGCCCACCAGTGGCCCTGGGCACCCTGTGAGGTGCGACTTGGGGTCCCCTCCTGGACCCCAGGGCCTGGCCCTGGCCGGCACGCGGCAGCTCACTCCTGGCACGGAAGGTTCGGGCACGCGCTGTCCTTCGTGGTGGGCGCCCGTGGCCCTTCCCCGAGTCTCGCCCTGGACCTCCAAGGACCACCGGGAAACCTCTGTACGCCCGCCTCCGACGCCCGCCCTGCGCAGCGTCTGCCGGTGCCTGGGGACGGCAGCTGAGGCCAGGCTGGGGCAGTGCGTGGTGCACGGCGTGCTCAGCCACCCTCCCCGGCCCTCTCCCCTCGACCCTCGGTGGGGGAGACGCGCGCCCCCGGGAAGCCCAGGGCGTGCAGCCTCCGGGTTTCTTCCGCCTCGTCCCCAGGTGGTGGCGCGGTGGCGCTTCCTGCCGGCCCAGGCGCCCGCGTCCCATCCGTCTGGGAGTCCCTGGGGGACGGGGCCTGCCTGAGGCCAGGGCGGGCCAGCAGCCCCGGGACCCTGCTGTCCCTGGGGGTGCCGGGCGGACGGCGAGGCCTCGGGTCCCCCAGGCTGTGTCCTGGGGCTGGGGCCGTGGGCGAGGCCGGCTCGGCGGGACCCTCCTCCTGGAGCTGCCGGCTCGACGCAGGCCCGCCCTGCCCTCACGCCTGCCCCCAGGGAGCCCGGCGCTCTCGGCCCTGCTGGAATGCAGGCGCCACGGCTGTGGGGGGCGGCCGGCGCCGGGCAACTTGTTATAAAAAGCTCTGGCACAGACCGCCTGAGGCGGCTGCAGGGAGGCTGTGGGTTTGAAGGGGCAGCCCCCAGGGCCCTCGGCCCGCCCTTCCCGGTCCCCGCGCCTCGGTGCTGCGCGGGCAGAGGGGCTTCTCCGTGGAGCCCACCGCCCTGCCCCCGCGGGGAGCACTGGAGAGGGGTGTGACGGCCGTGTGCTTGGTGACTGCAGGGCCAGCCGGACTGCGGGCTGGGGAGGGCAGCCCTGGGCACTCCTGGCAGGTGCGCTGGCTGCGGGAGCGGCCCCCGAACGCTGCATGGACTGGGCCTGGTCGCCCCAGGGCAGCAGTTGGGCCTTGCGCGCTGGTGGCCGGGCTGCGCGACAGGCCGTGGGAAGGGACGACCCGGGAAGTGTGTCCCAGGAGCGGAGCCTGCCCAGCCCGCCGGGTCCTGGGGAGACACCGGAGGTGGGGCCGCCCTGCCGAGGTCAGAGGGCGGGGCCCTGCCGGGGCAGGGGCGCCTCCTCAGCAGCCCCTCCCTCCTGGGTGAGGGAGGGCAGGGCCCCGCCCGGGGGGACGCTTCCCCAGACTGTCCCCTGGGCGGCGCAGGCCTCGGAGGGTCCCTGCTCACTGCAGGGACTGTCCCCAGAGGCAGCACATGCAGGGCGGGCCCTGCCTTGTCATTTCCACCAATCCCGCTGCCAGTCAGGAGCGAGGCCGTCCCTTCCTGTGTCCCCACGGTGGGCAGACGCGGGGCCAGGCCGCTCCCCTGGCGGGGGGGGGCCAGCGGTCGGCAAAAACCTCTAATTTGGGGGCCTCCACTCCCCCTGGCCCCCCCCATGAGCCCCTGATGTGGCCTCGACCGGACCACTGCTCCCTGAGCCCTGGTGGCAGGCGTGCCCACGGAGACAGGACGTGAACGAGGGGCTGCTGCTCCCCCCAGTGCCCGAGTGCCCCCAGCAGGGACTGCGCGGAGAGCCCAGGGCCAGGGGCCGGGGAGTGAGGGTCCCAGGTCGGTGCCGCTGGGCGGGCGGCCAGGAGGGGGCGCCCCTTCCCGGGCAGCCTGTTCTCCTCCCCCCACCTGGTCCTGGCCTCGGGCGGACGGGCGGGCCCCGGGCTGGGCTCTGGGGTCTGCAGCGGCCCGGTGCCGGCCCCTCCTCACCCGTGCACCCCCATCCGCAGCCGGTGGCCCGGGACCCCGTGGTGTGCCACCCCGACCAGGAGGAGCTGCCACAGGCCCGGCCGGCAGAGCTGCCGGACGAGTTCTTTGAGGTGACCGTGGACGACGTGCGGAGACGCCTGGCCCAGCTCAAGAGTGAGCGGTGGGTGCGCCCCGCCCCTCAGGCATCCCCCTGCCCCCGCTGCCGGCCCCCGGCCCCCATGCCCCCATGCCCCTGGCACCCAAGCCCCCGGCAGCCCCGTGGGGTACGGGCTTGGCGGGTCCCTGTGAGTCCCCCTCTGGCCGGGGAGACCCGGGCCTTCACCCGCCCTCTCCACAGGAAGCGCCTGGAGGAGGCCCCCTTGGTGACCAAGGCTTTCAGGGAGGCCCAGACGAAGGAGAAGCTGGAGCGATACCCCAAGGTAACGGGGGGGGTTGGGGGGCGGAGGCCCATGCTCCCCCCGCCCCTGCCCAGCCTCGGTTGGCAAAGGACCAGTCAGTGTGGTTTCTCAAGGGAGCAGAGGTCACTGTGTCTTCACGAACCCACGTGGTGGGCACGCGACAGGGCCTCACACCCAGCCCCCCGGGGGGGTCAGCAGACCGCAGGAGACGCTGGCACTTCCACCGGCCCCAGTCCCGGCCCCTGCCCCACTCCCAGGTGAGGCCCCACCCCCGGGAGGCCCAGCCAGGGCTGACCCCGGCGCTTGTCCCTCCCAGGTGGCCCTGAGGGTGCTGTTCCCTGACCGCCACGTCCTGCAGGGCTTCTTCCGGCCCAGCGAGACAGGTAGGAGGCCACCCCTGGGCATCCGGGGCCCCTGGGGCCCCTTCGAGTGCCCCCTGGCTCCCGCAGGGCTGCGGCGGCTCGGAGCAACAGGGTATGTGGGGGGGGCGGGGCGTGCCACGTGCCCTCGCGCCCACCTGTCCTGGACAGAGGCCCCCGGAGCAGTCCCTGGCCTGGGGCTGCCACTCACCTGGAGGAAGGGGGGCAACCAGTGCCCCCAGCTCTGGGCAGGGCAAGAAGCAAAGGGAAGGGCGTTTCTGTGGGGGGGAGGGTGGTCCATGCCAAGTGCAGCCGTGGTCTCGGGGACGCTCATCTTCCCTTTTTCCAGGTTTGATGAGGCCTCTGGGTGGACAAATGACGAGGTGACCGTGAAGCCAGGCTGCCAGAAGACATGGTGGCGGCTGCAGACATAAGGCTTGTGTGGATGATGGTGGATGGCTTCTTGATCGCAGGCAGCACATGCAGAGCCGTGCAGCCACGTGGCACAGGCAGCCATGCGTCACAGCTCTTTTTGCTCTCCCCTCTGTGGTGAGGCCTGCGGGTTTAAATAGAAGCCTTTTTCAAGAACCAACATACACCACCTGTTAAGTTATTACTTAGCTTTCATAGTTTCAGAACCACCTTTAAGATAGGAGGCATTGGACAGGTTTCATTATGATTATTTCACATGCAGCATCTAAATCAACAGGCGTGATAGCGTTGGCTTGTCCACTAGTTGCCACAAACTCATTCATTGATCTTAGCAATCTGAGCTGTGGATAGTGCGGTGTGGCAGTGGGTTCACGAGGGTTTCTATAAGATCTTACCACAAGCCCTCTTTGGATTTACCGCAGCAGACATAAGGCAGCTTTTTCCTGGAGCGAAGAAGTAAGCCAAGTGGCAACTTCTAAATGTGTGTCTCCCTCCGCAGTATTTTCTCCAAAATACCTGGATAAATACATGACCCTCTTCAAGTATTTGCTATACAGGCACCGCAAGCAAAAGCAGGTTCAGTGCGTGGCAACATGTCCCAAGTTCACTTTCAGGCATGGTTGGATGTGTGTCAAAAGGTGAGCTCTTCGTCTTAAGGCGTGTCAAGGATTACAGCTGGCAATAGCAGTTGAAGTCAAGGCCAGGCCACACCGCGAAGCCTACGCAAGGATTACCGCAGCAATCGCTGCAGACGTATTAGCGCTTACATTCAAGATCTGTCTTTGGCTTACCTACCTGGCACTTTCTTCTCTTTGTTTCACCGCTTGCTCAGCGCCCGCCTGACGCCCCTGTGGGCCCCAGGGCTCCCGGTGAGGGCGCGGAGCCTTGATCTGGCGCCTTCTGGGCCGCCTTCCAGAGCCCCGAGGAATGTCCCGTCCTCTCGCCTGGGAGGGCAGCCTGGGGCCTCCCCGGCCCGGGGCCTAATGGCTCCCTCTTCAAAGCCTCCTCAGACGTTTTAATTGCTAGCAGAGGCCGGCCCTCGTTAAGTGGCCCGCAGGCCCTGCGAGGCCTGAGCTGGGGCTGCCGGCTGTGGGGAGACGGGGCGAGGCCAGGCGGAGAGCTGGACGTCCACCAAAGCATGGAGTCGGGGTGGACGGGAGCCCGGCGGGGCCGCCCGCAGCTCCGGGGCCCGCAGGCACTGGGTTCTGCCCGGGTCTCCCCCGCCGGCGCTGGGCTCGGAGGTGCTGTGGGAGGGTGGGCGTCGGCTCCCGGACCCTCCCCCCAGGAGGCGCCTCGGGGGCTGCCTCCCCTGCCCGCTCTGCCCCCGGCCACCAGCAGCCGGCTCCTTTCATCGGCGGCTCGGCCTGGAGCCACGGGGCCCCTGCGGGGTGGCGGCCCGCCCGGGACCAGAGCTGGCAGGGCCTCGGGGAGGAAGCCCCCGCCCGCCCTCGGTGCGCCGTGCGGAAGCTTTCATGTCCCTGGCTGGCTGCGCGCTGGCTGCCGGCCGCCCAGGGGCTGCCCCCGAGTCCCGCCCCGAGTCCCGCGAGGGAGGATGGCTCTAGGCGGGTGCAGGGGACTGCAGCCCAGCCGCCCTGCCTGCCTGCCTGCCGGGCCAGGAGCGTCTGGGGACGCAGTCAGGGGGCACAGAGGCCCCCAGTGCTCCAGATCAGACCTGCCTCCTGGGCCCGAGCCCCCTCTGGGGTTGGTGCTGCCCCTGCCCACCACCTTGTGCTGGACCCTCAAGGGGTCCTGCCACAACCCGGGACCCCTCAGCCCGAGACGAGGGCAGACCTGCCTCGGGCCTCCTGGTGGCCCGTGCCGCTCTCCTGGCACTGTCCGGTCGGGTCCCCGGGATGCAGGCCAGCGGGGGGCTCCTTTGGGGCTGTGAGCCCGACGGCCCCCAGGGGGCCCAGCCCCAGCAGGTGGGCTTGGAGCGTGTGGGCGAGCTGTGCGGGTGGTCCCGAGGGGCAGGGCCCGGCCGCACCAGGAAGGGCGTGGCAGTGCCTCCCACTGGCCCGGGGCCTGGAGCAGCGCCCCCCACGGAATGCTGGCCCCAGGCACGGCAGTGGGGGTCTCCAGGCACCGAGGCCCTCGCCCGTGTCGCTCACCCGTGGCGGTGGTCCCAGCACTCCCCGGCCCGGCCTGGACGCTCCTCTGGGCAACTCCCCCACCTCTGCGCCGGGAGCCGGGGGCAGGGAGGTGAGTGCGGGCTGGCAGCTGCGGCCCCTGCACGCAGGCTGAGCGCACGGAGCCTCGGCAGCTTCAGGGCCGCGGCCACCGTCCTCTGCACAGGGGCGGGTGGGGGCTCTGGGGCTGCCCCTACGGCCCGGAGTCTGCACCACAACCCAGCCTCCCGCCAAGGGGGCTTCTCGCGACACACCGCGCACCTGTGCAGGAGGGGTCAGTCCCCGCTGCCACCCTCTCGGATGAGACTCCCCGAGGGGGAGGTTCCTGGTAACAGGGCCCGCCTGCAGGGAGGGGCTTCACGCCAGCCCGGTCAGGGGCCCGGGTGCAGCTTTCAGGGTGTCGGCGGGCACCCTCACAGGTGGCCGACCTGGGCCACTCCCCACCCAGCTGCTCCTGCTGGGTCTGGGCCCCCCTCAGCCCGCGGGTGGCCCGTCCGACCACCCCCGCAGACCCCGAGCTCTGTGTGCTTCGGGCGGTGAGGCTGGGGGAGGGGAGGCCAGGGCGCCCTCAGGAAGGGCTGGTGGCTGCCCTTGCCCCCTGGGGCCCCCCTGGCGTCCCCCTTGCCCGCACCCCCGCCAGTCGGTCTGACCTGTGGGCCTGCTGTAGTCTGCTGGGGTGGGGCATCTGGGCCTAGCACTGCTTTCACCGTGTTCGGTGCACCCTGGGACCAGGCAGTGGCGGCCGGGCGGGGGGGCCGGGGACAGCAAGGCCAGCGCACAGGGGGCGAGAGCTTCCTCACCAGCTGGTGCTTGGGCTGGGCCCTGGGGCTCTGTGCTCAGACACCCAGCGGGGCTGGCTCGAGGCCTGGGGCCGAAAGAGGGGCAGGAGCCCCTGGGGGCTGGGTGGGGCTCACACTGCCAGGAGGGGCTGGTGTGCCCCTGCAGCGTAGCGCCCCCTGCTGGGCCCCACCCACAGCGCCCACGCGGCCCTGAGCCCCCCTGCCCGCCCTGCAGGCAGAGCTGTTCCCCGCTGCCCTGGTGCACTTCGGGGCCGAGGAGCCCGCAGGTGAGTGGGGCCCCTGCTCGCCACCAGCCCCGCGTCCTGGAGCCGGGGCTGCCTCCGGGCGTGGAAGGGAACCTGCTCCCCGGGGCTTCGGGGCAGCCAACTGCCCGGGCGGTGCCCCCTCCCAGAGCACAGGGGTGGGGGTGGTCCCCTTCGTCCTCCGTGGCCTGAGGGTGAGCCGGGCCCCCCGCAGGCCTCTACCTGGACCCCAAGCTGCTGGAACACACCATCGCCCCGTCTGCGGCTGACACGCTGGTAGCCAGGTGAGGGCTGGGGGTCGGGGAGCATGCCTGCGGCTGGGAGGGTCCGCGGCTGCCGAGCCGGCAACCCTGTGCCTCGGACCCTCCCCCAGGTGCATGTGCAGGGCCGCCCCGCCCCAGTCCCCGCTGCCAGCGTTGAACCCCGCGCCCCTGGAGCCGGAGGCAGCTGCCCAGGAGGGTGCCTTGGGGCCCCCCGAGCCCAGCCCCGGGCCGGCCCAGCCCTTGAGGAGGGACCTGGGCAAGGTGCCCAAGTGGCTGAAGCTGCCAGGTACTGTGGGGGGCAGACCGGGAGGGGCTGCCGGGCAGGAGCCCAGGGCCCCCAGGTCATCCTGGCCTGTCTCCTTGCAGCCAGCAAGAGGTGAGAGCTGCCAGCCAGAGGTTCCCGCCCTGCCGGCGACAGGACCCCTCCCCACCCCAACTCAAATAAAGACTGGAGCCTCCCCGAGTCCCTCTGGTCCTGCTTCTCCAGAGAAGAGCCCACAGGCTTCCGCCCTGCTGCCCTCCCCCGTCCAGAGCTCCCCAGCGAGGCCCTCAGCCGCCCCCAGCCCTGGGACCGCCAGGCCCCCAGCTCACAGGCCCTCGTTCGCAGTAACGAGGGCACAGGTGTCCCCCCTTTGCCGCCTCCCTTGGCCTTCCCCCAGCTGACACGTTAACCACCCTCCTCCTGGGAACACGTCTCAGGGGCAGGGCCTCCAGGCACCCCGGCCCCGAGGAAGTGCCTCCCCCCGCAGGGCTGGCAGGGCCTGGCCCGGGGGTTCCCCCCCCCCCCCCAGTGCGAGGAGGCACTTCAAAGTGGCGGTGGGGCACGGGTTCTGGCACTTGTCGCCAGCCTCTCCCTTCAGGTCTAATTACTTCCACATGCTCCCAGCGCTTTGAAGCCCGGAGACTCCCGAGGGGGTGGGGAGAGGAAGGTGGGAGACAGAGGCGGGGAAAGGGTGCAGGAAGGGGTCCTCGGGGCCAAGTTAGGGGGTGAAGGGCTTGTCCCCCAGCCCACGCTGCCCGTGGGGGTGGGGGTGCTGGCCGGCGGGGCAGCTGCTGAGCCACCCGGACGGTCCTCCGCAGGGGCAGTTGCTGTGACTTGCGTCTGCAGTCATGGGGCCTGGAGCCCTTTGGGCGCTCCCCATCCTGGGCACGGGAAGCAGCCTCTGGAGGAGGGGGCAGGCGCTGCCGGGTGGGGAGGGTGAGGCTGGGGCGTGGCCAGGCCCTAGGGGTGATGCTGGGCCCTGGGGGCCCCCGAGCATCCAAGGGCAGCCAGACCCCCAGGCCCAGCCTCACCTGCCGGCCAGGGGCAGCCCCGCAGCCCGGCCCCCTGGCAGCAGGAGCACTGTCTCCAGGTGAGGGGCTGTGTACGAGGGCTCCCCCTCGCGGCCCCACCAGAGCAGGGCAAACACACGTGCCTTCGTCCTACCGGGGCGGGGGGCGGGGGGCAGAGTGGGCTCTGAGCGGCTGGACGTTGGGGGACCGGAGGCGAGACGGAGGCACTGCTGGGCGCGGCGGCTCCGGTTTATTGGCCCTGCACTCCCTGCGAGGGCCGGCTCTCAGCCTCGGGGGTAGCATGTGGTTCGGGGGCAGCGCAACGGCTTTGACGGCGGCGGCCTGCACAGTTCAGCCTGTTCGCAGAGGTCACAGTCCCCGCTTCTGCCACACCTCTGTGTCCGGTCACCCGCAGGGCGGGGGGCGTGAGGGACAGCAGCATGCTGCTGGGACCAGGCCCGGAGCACCGTGGGGACCGGCGGCCTCGTCGCTGTCTGAAGCCAGGAGCCCCGGACCTGCGGGCGTGGGGCTGGGCTGTGGGGGCACAGGTGGCCCGGCGAGGGGGGCGCCCTAGAAGTCCAGGAGCTGTGCGGGGAGGAGACACTCGTCTGAGCACCGCCCACCCCTCACACCTGCTCTTCCCGCCAGGCCCTGCTCCCGCCCACGGGGCCGGACGGGCCACCTACCAGCTGAGGCAGCACCTTCTCCAGCTGGTCCACATCCACGCAGGGCAGGTCCTCGGCCTGGGCCTGCCGGATGCTGCGGATGGCCGCCTCTGCCATCGACACGGGAGGGGAGTGGGCGGCGGGCGACGGGGGGGCTCGACACCCCTCCCCCCAACTGCCCTGGACCGCAGCCCAGCCCCTCCCCAGCCCGTGCTGCCAGCTCAGGGGGCCGAGGCACCACCCCTGTCACCCGAAGTGTTCCAGGGGCGCGGCCCACGGGGCGCAGACGGGGAAGTGGGGACAGCAGATGTCCTGGACCCCCTGCCGGGACAGGAAGCACGAGCGGGGCCCAGGGCCCTCGGCTCACCCACAACGAAGACCTTCAGCAGCTCCGCCGTGAGCAGCAGCGCGTCCCCACTGACTGCAGGTGGAGGGGCGGGTCACGGCCGTGCCCTGGCCGCAGGCTGCTGCCTGCCCCCCACCTCCTCCCTGGCCCGTCCCCGCGCAGTGGGGCCTGCGGCCCCGCCCACCACGCCCACCCCCAGGCCGGCGCCCACACCTCTGGTCTTGTCGTCCTTGAAGTGCAGGTGCAGCAGCTTGCTCACCAGCTCCTGGGGGGCCGACAGGACACGGTGACTCGCCAGGCCTGCCCCGTACCCACCCGATGGCCACAGCCTCCTTAGGCATCTGTTCTGGATGGGAAGGGGCTGGGGTTTGTGGCCTCAACACTCTGTCCCCTGGGGCCTCCCAGGGTGGGGCCCTGGCGTGCACGCCTCCAGGCCCGGAGGGTAAACACGGGCCCTGGGCCGGTGGGCACAGCCCCGGGTCGGCCCTCCCCTTTGGAACTCACCTGCTGGCATCCGGGGCAGCCTCCTGCTTCACCCCACCCCTGGGCCGAGGCCCCGCCCTCCCCGGGGACCCTCCGCAGGTCTGTCCACACCGCTGCTGCCACCACGTGGCTCTCGGTGGACCCCGAGCTGCAAGCCAGGCCAGCTCCTCCCGCAGTCCCTCCCCGAGACTAGAGGTGCCCAAGACAGGATGGACGCTGTGGAAGCGGCAGTGCTGGGCCAAGGGGTGGTCGGGGGCCGGGAACAGAGCCTGGGTGTGTTTTCAGGATGTCCTGACAGACACGGACAGGACACAGAGGGTCTGGGCCAAGACTCAAGGCAGGGGCTTGAACCCCCAGAGGATGGGGCTACGGGTGGAGATTGGTCCTGGGGACCAGGGTCTCAGGAGCTCCGCTTGGGACAGGCTGAATGAGGGGCGCACAGATGCCCACGGGGCGCGGACGGGGAAGTGGGGCCAGCCAGCCAGGAGTGGGGCTGGGAGCCAGAGGCCAGCAGGGTGCTGGGGCGGCGGCGGGAGGGCAGTAGTCGTGGGCGCCCCGGAGGTCGGCAAAACTGGGTGTCCTGCAAGGCCGGTGAGCTGGGTCCCCCGGCCCCCGGCCTTAGCCGAGGGAGGCTGCCCACTCCGCCCAGCGCAGTTCAGGGCCCAGGAGCAGAGTGACGTGGACCCCGACGGGGCCCGAGCTCAGAAGGGAAAGAGCTCACCGCCGGTCACTAGTGGAAGCCCCAGCAGCCTCACCCTCCCAGCAGTGACCTTGGAGCTTGGTGCCACCTGCTGGCCCTCCTCGCTGCTTACCAGGAAGGCTCCCTGCCCCCGGTGCTCCCGGACCCCAGGAGGAGCTGAAGCAGCCCCACTGCTGCATCGGGCTCTGCTGCAGGGAACCGTCCCAGCAACGAAAGGGGTCAGCGCCAACGAAGAGTGGCGGCTCCCAAACGAAGAAGTGACAAGGACGGGAAGGGAGCAGGGGACCCGGGTGCCTTCCGCCTCTGCCCCTCCCTCCCCGGGGAGCCCTGTTCGTGGGCAGTGACCACAACCCCAGCTCGGCCAGGGCGCTTGGCTGGAGGGCTCCACAGCCCTGTGCTCCGCTCTCCAGCTGTCGGGACGGGATTCTCACCGCCCCTCTGCTCGGTCACCCCTGCCTCGGCTACTGTGCCTTTTAGGCAATTAACCCCTCTGGGCTGGGGCGGAGCCGCAGCCCTGGGTGACAAAGGAGAGAAGGGGACTGAGGCAGAAGGTGAGCTAGAGGGAAGTGCCCCGTGCCTCTCTGCAAGGCCGAGACCCCCAGTGGGGGCTAGGGGGCGCGGCAGAGAACCGCCCAGGTCTCCGAGGCCCGCAGGCCCTCCTCCAGGCGCGCCTTCCCGATTCAGGGGCTCCGTGCTCCGCTCCCCGGAGGGCAGAGCAGCAGAGCGAGGCTCACACAAGTCGCAGCGCCAGCCGCATTCACCGGGCGCAGAGCGCAGGGCGAGACGCCGGCTGTGCCCCCGTTTCTCCACTGTCAAGCGGCGCGAGTGCCGGCGCCCATCTGCCAGGGTGGCTGTGCGTTAGGTGGGTTCACGTCGAGCGCGTACAGCAGTGCCTGACTGCCCCGCGTGTGGTTAAGGAAGCGCGCCCCCACACACCCGACCGAGCCGAGACAAACAGGCGCTGCCCGGAGACGCAGCTGCAGCTGGGCTTCAGCTCGGCTCAGGTGAGACGGAACCACGGGCTCGCGGGACAGGCAACGGGCAGGGGGAGCTTCAGGCGGTGCAGCGACGTGACAGTCCCAGCGAGCTGGGCGGACCTGGGCCCTACGCCAGGCGGCTTAGGGCACGTCCCACCGGATCCCCGCCGCGAGCGGCGGGCGCCGGCCCGGGCTCCTTTCTGAGCTCCCCTGCGTTTCTGCGGGCGCGGCGCCCACGTCTGTCCAGTGTCTCCCGCCCGGCCGCGGAAGCCCGCCCCGGAGGGCGAAGAGCGGGCACGTGGGTCACGCGTGGGGCGCGGCCGTAGTGTGCTCACTGCCCCACCCCATGGGTGTCTCCCGAGTCCAGCACCTCACACCGCCCACCCTCTCTCACCTTGCGGAAACAGGCACCAGTTCCCTCCATGACCGCCACCGCGTCCCGCGCTCCTCGGAGCCCCGCCCCCGTACTCCCAGCCAATACGCCCTGGGCGCGCCCTCTCGGGCCCCGCTCTCGTGCCTCCAACCAATCACACTTGAGCGCGCCCTCCGCCGCCCCGCCTCTACCCCGTCCAACGGACGCAGGATTGGGTTGCCTTGGCTCCTCCCAAAGCGCGTGCCCACCCCCTTGCTATTATTGGCCAGTGCCTAGCACAAAGCCTCCTGGGAGTTGTAGTTTCACCCCTTCCCTGTTCTTCCTGGATACTGAGACGCAGCGATGGCCGCGTAGGCAGGAGTGGGCAGCGAGGGTCCACGGCGCGAGGGCCGGGACCCAGGATACGCGCGACGCCCAGAGCAGCCCCGGCGCAGGAGGACCCACCCCCAAGGGGTCCTCGTCCTTGCGCCGCATGCTCGGGTGTTCCCGGGATCACCGCCCGCCCTCCTGGGGCCTTCCACCTGTAGAACCCACTCAGTTCCTGGTTCCTCGGCTACCGAGGCCGGACCTGGGCTCGTTGCGCCTCCCACGGAGCGACCGGGGTCCTTTGCCGGCCCTCAGGGAGAAGAGCCGGGCCGCCAGGCAAGCAGCCCCGGTCCCGCTGGCTCACGGTGCGGCCCGGCTGCAGGCGCGCAGAGGCAGCCCCGGGCCATGGAGGACTGGCCGCGCTCCTACAGCCGGCTATGCAGGGAGAGCGGCGCCGAGCCCCAGGAGGCTGTGCTGCAGCAGCTGCACGCGGCGCCGCGGGGCCGGCTGGACCTGGCCACGCAGAGCCTGACCCTGGACACCTGCAGGGCCCTGGGCGAGCTGCTGCAGAAGGAGGCACAGCTGACGGAGCTGGTCCTCAGCGACTGCATGCTGAGCGAGGAAGGTGGGCCCGAGGGCTGGCAGGCGCCAGGCGGGCTGGCGACCTTAGAGCAGGGGCAGCGTCCCCTCGCTTTGTCTTAGCTGCCCGCTGCTCCGTGGCTGCCCGTGTCATCAGCCCTCCGCAAAGAGCTCTGTCCCGCCGGTCTCTTTGGGAGGCTGCTCCTCTGGGGCTGTAGTAAAATCAAGCATCAGAGTCCCTTCTTGAATTCTGAGAGCAGAGGGGCCTGTCACTTGGTCACACAGAAGCCTTGGGAGAGCCCCAGGGTGCTGGTGAGGTCGGGCGTTGGCGGCCTGGCTCCAGGTTGGGCAGAAGGTGTAGGTGTCTCAAACCTGCCACAGTGGGGGGGGTGACTCGAGCATGGCATGAACCCCGATGTCCCTCCCACATATCTAGGGAGGTGTCCCGAGATGGGGCCCCTAGGGAGAGCCCAGGGCCCTAGGGGCAGAGAGTGACCGCCCTGCCCCCTCACAGGGGCCACACTGCTGCTCCAGGGGCTATGCGCCAACCCTGTCCTGCGGTTTCTGGATCTGAAGGTGAGGGGACCTGCCACGAGACGGGGGAGGACGTGGGTGTCCCGGCCACCTGGGTGCCGGTCAGTGGCCGGAGGCCTGTCTTGTGAGCACTGCGGGTGCACAGGGCCCTGCACGGTTTCCAGTGGTCTCTGGTGTGCGTGCGTGTCCTGGGGCTGGGGGTGGCTTCAGAGTCGCCAGGAGAGAGCGGAACAAGCTGGCACCAGGAGGCCCCCCCACCCACCGTCTCCTCAGAGCCTGGCCTCACCCGTTGCCTGAGCGGGACGGGGACCCTGCGGGGTGAGCAGGAGGCGGGGACAAGGGGCCTGCCTCTTCCTGTCCTAGGGCAACAACCTGCAGGCCGCAGGGGCCGAGGCGCTGGGGAGACTCCTGCGACAGAGCACATCCCTTCAGAGGCAAGGTGCCACCCAGGCCCCCACCCTCCCCACACCCCATCCCCCTGCACGGGCCAGGGCTGACCCTGGAGGACTGGGTTCTGCCACCTGGACGTTCAGGCCTTCCGGCCGGCTGTCCACATTTCCTGTCCATGTGCGGGGAATTGGGCTGGTACAAGTTCTGAGGCTGCAGACTTGCTGTCAGAGACCCCCGGGCCTGCGCCCTGGAGCACCCCGGGACCCCGAGGGAGTGGGCTGCTCCTCGGGCTGCGCACCTCATGTCCACCCGCCCTGCAGCCTCACCCTGGAGTGGAACAACCTGGGCACCTGGGAAGACGCCTTCGCTGCCTTCTGCCGGGCCCTGGCGGGCAACGGCGTCCTGCGGCGGCTGGACCTCCGCAACAACCAGATCAGCCACCAGGGTGCGGAGGAGCTGGCCCTGGCCCTGAAGAGCAACACCAGCCTCCAGCAGCTGGGTGAGGCGCTGGGACGGCCACCGGGGTCGGCCCCCTTGCTCCCTCAGCCCTCCCGATGCTCCCCTTGTCCTGTCCCCAAAGCCAGGGGCCGGAGTGGGTAGGAAGGGCGAGCTCCGTACGCTGGGCCCCTGCTCTGGCAGTGATGCCCCGAAGGAAGCACCCAGGCCAGGCCGGCTCCCCAGGTGACAGGAGGTTTCCTTCTAGACCTGCGCTGGAACAACATCGGCCTCCTGGGAGGCCGGGCCCTGGTGAGCTGTCTGCCCAGCAACAGAACCCTGTGGAAGCTGGAGCTAGCTGGGAACAACGTGCCCAGCGATGTCCTCAGAGCCGTGGGTAAGGGCGCCGGGCGCTGAGTGGGTTCCCTGCGGCAGAGGCCCCGCCTCTGGGGGGCGGGGCCGTGGGGGTTGGCCCTGGGGGCAGCCGAGGTCAAACATTGAGAACAAGAGCCGCTCCTGGAGCCCGCGCGCCCGGTTCTTAGACCCCCCCCATGGTGCCCCCCAGCTTCAGAGCTGAGGACGCTGAGGCACGTGGCTCTAGGGGCCTCGCCCTGACGGCCGTGCTGTTTCCTGGGGCCGCATGTGCCTCCAGGGCGGCCAAGCACAGGCGCCATGTGGGGGGCGGGACCACCAGGTCCAGGCTCCACCTCCACATACCCCCCCACCCCGCCCATCAGCGAGGCTGGCGTCTCCGCCCCAGTCCCCGCAGAGCCCTCTGTCACTCCCTGTAGCTCCTCGTCCTGGCAGCCACCCCGGGGCCGGGCGTGGGCTGGAACCCCGCCACGCTCACCACCTCCTGCTGGGTCTGCCTGACCCCTGTCACCTCTGCCTCTTCACCCCTGGCCTGCCCCTGGGCCACCACATCTGTTAGCGTTACCTCCGGCGCCACGGCCACTTCTGGCTGGTCCCTCTCCCGGCGCTGCCTGGGTCTTCCTGGAACACAGGAGCTGAACACAGCGTTCGCCTCTCGAAAGTCACACAGTGGCCCCTGACCTCTGGGACGGGGAGAGCAGACGCCCCTCTCCATGTGCGCCCACCACAGACCTGGCGCCCCTGCGGCTCCTGACCCCACAGTTGCCCCCTCTCCCCAGCCACGCTGACGCCCTTCGCCCCCGGAGTCCTGGGCGTCGGCCCCACAGAGGGGCGAGAGGAGGCCTCGCAGCCCCAACTCTCAGACCCCCGGCTGCCGGCCCCTCCCGAGGCCCAGCGCCCCCCACCCCCCGCCCCGGTGGGTGACCCGGCTCCCTCGGACAGAGCAAGCCATGGACCACAACCAGGACCGGCAGGCCGCCTCCCGGGAGAGCCGGGCCCGCACCCACGTGCTCAGCAAGGAGGTGCGGCACCTGCGGGAGGAGAAGTCCAAGCAGGTGAGGCCTGTTGGCTCCACCCCCAGAGCCACGTCCCGCCCCCGGCCCCGCCCCAGCAGCCCAGGCCACGCCCGGGTGCCGGTTTCCTGGCCCCACCCCCTCGGGCGCGGGGTGTGGACTCCCCCCTCGGGCTACGCCTTGAGGGGCGTCCCCTCTCCTCCCTGCCCAACAGCACTGGGCAGGGCCCGGGCCCTGACGGGGCTCCGGCCGTGTGCTCCCAGTTCCTGGACTTGATGGAGACGATCGACAAGCAGCGAGAAGAGATGGCCAGGAGCAGCAGGTGGGCGGGGCGCCGTGCTGGCGCCTGGCTGGGGTGCCTTTCCAAGGACGGCGGCTGGGGGCGCGGGCAGCTCCAGGACCGGGGGGCCGGGAGGGCTCTGGCGGCCGGCTCCTCAGACATCCCCGCCCCCGTCCACCCGCAGGACGTCGGCTGCACGCATGGGGCAGCTCCAGGAAGCCCTGGACGAGAGGCACTCCATCATCAGTGCCCTCAAGGCCAAGTGAGCAACGGTGGGACGGGGTGGGGGTGGCCACACGGGACCCAAGCCCCTGCGGATAAAGGAAATGTGGGGAAGGGCTGGGCGACACGTCTGGAGGGCTTCCCGGAGGAGCTGAACGGCAGCCTGGCGAAAGTGCGCCCGGGAGGCCTCTTTGCCAGGCTGACGTGGGGCGGGGGCGGGCCTGGCCCTGTCCTCCTCGCAGGTTGCAGATGACCGAGGCGGCCCTGGCTCTGTCGGAGCAGAAGGCCCAGGACCTGGGGGAGCTCCTGGTCACCGCAGAGCAAGAGCAGCGGAACCAGGCGCAGAGGCAGGCCAAGGAGCACAGGCTGGCACAGCAGGTGGGCGGGCGGGGGCGGGCGCAGGCGGGGGGGGCAAACATGGCGGCAGGTGGCCCATCGGCGGTGCCCTCCCCCGTCCCGCCCCCAGGAAGCTGCGGAGCGGGAGTCTAAGCTGCTCAGGGACTTGTCTGCTGCCAACGAGAAGAGCCTGCTTCTGCGAAACCAGGTGCGGGGGTGCAGGACTGGGCCCCCGGGAGGTCAGGCTGGGTGCGGGCTCGGGCCAGAGCGTCCCTCCCACGGTGCCGCCTCTCCAGGTGGACGAGCTGGAGCGGAAGGTGAAGTCACAGCAGGACCAGCTGTTCCTGACCAGGCAGGAGCTGACCAACACGTCGGCCGAGCTGAAGATGCGGGCCCTCCAGGCGGAGGGTGGGCACGAGCAGGGGCCCCGGGGACGGGAGCCAGGGAGAGGCGGCTGGGGGTCCTGGGAGCGAGGGGCCCCGGGGAGCCGCTCCACGCCTCCCCCTGCGCTTCCAGAGCGCCTGGAGCTGGAGAAGCGGCGGTCCCGGCAGAGCCTGGAGGACGCGGAGCAGCTGCGCGCCAAGGAGGTGCCTCCCCTCTCCTGCTGTCCCCTCTGGCCTCCCGGGGCCTGCAGATGCCTCCGTGTGGCCTGGTGTCCCCAAAGCACAGCCCAGGCTGGGCTCCCCTCACCCACCCTGGGGTGCTGGGTGGCGGTCCTCCAGTAGGGCCTCCTGACCAGGCCCTAGAAGGGACCCCAACTGCACGGGGGCCGCGGCGCTGGACCTGCCTTCTGCCTCCGCTTCCCGAGAGCCGCTCGGGCAGCCCCTTGGAAGGGACTGGGTCCCCAAGCTTCGCCTGTCTGTCAGGGTGGGGATCCCGCGTGGGGAGGGCTGGGGCACCGGCCTGACGGCCCTGTCCCCGCCCTGCGCCTGGGCAGGTGGAGCACATGACGCGCCACCTGGAGGAGAGCGAGAGAGCCATGCAGGACAGAGTACAGAGGCTGGAGGCTGCGCGGCTGTCCCTGGAGGAGGTGAGTGCGTGCTGGGCACATGCTGGGCTGGCTGGGCGTCCCCCTCGGGGACCCACCCATGAGACCAGAGGGACTCAGGGAAGTGGCCCCGGGGACTCTCTGGGCTGTGGAAGCCTGACCTGGTGGGCATGGCAGCGCTCAGGAGGCTGGCGGGGGCCAGAGCCTCAGGGCCGGGGGTCTCTGCCGCAGGAGCTGAGCCGGGCGAAGGCGCTGGCGCTCAGCGAACGCAGCCAGGCCGAGGAGGAGCTCGTCAAGGCCAAGAGCCAGGTCCGCCTGGAGGAGGTGAGCCCGCAGCCCTGGCCACGGCGGGGCTGCCCACTGTCCCCAGCGCCCGCCAGGCAGCGGTGTGGGCCCGAGGTGGGCAAGGCCAGGGCCGTCTCCGGGGGTTGTGGGAGGTGAGGGGGCGGGAGCCCCAGGGTGCAGGGGTAGGGGAGTCAGAGCAGGACGCTCGTCCCAGGGGCCCCACGTCCAGCGTCCCACAGAAGGCCTGAGGGCGGGGAAGGGCTGTGGCCACTCGCCCGCCAGGGGCCAGGAGGGAGTTGGCCTGGGCAGTGAGGGCGGGGAGCCAGGCAGGGGTGCCCCCACCAAGGCCCGCTCCCAGTTCCGGAACAGACATAACAGGTCGCCAAGGTGCACGTCCCCTGTGGCTAGTAGGATCTCCCCCGGTCGGAGCAGGTGGGTCGCCCCGTCGTGCTGACAGTCACTGCGTGCAAGCTTAGGGTCACGGCCCCAAGAGCAGCAGTAGGCCTGGCACCCCCCCCCCCCCCGCCACTCACCAGCCCCTCGGCCCCCACAGCAGCAGCACCTGGCTCACCTGGAGGAGAAGCTGCGTCTGCTGGCACAGGCGCGGGACGAGGCGCAGAGCACCTGCCTGCAGCAGAGACAGGTGGTTGCTGAGTCCCAGGCACGGGCCAGCCAGCTGGGCCTGCAGCTGGAGGGCCTGCGGCGCCGCCTGGAGGAGCTGCAGCAGGTAGTTGCGGCGGGAGGGCTCCGGGGGCGCCTCTGGCCGCCGGCCGCCGCCTCACGCCCTGTGCCTGGCAGGAGCTGAGTGGCAAGGACCAGGAGAAGGTGGCCGAGGTGACCAGGGTGCGCGTGGAGCTCCAGGAGCAGCTCGGCCGCCTGCAGGCCGAGCTGACCGCCCAGGAGGCGCTGAAAGAGAAGGTGGCGGCCCTGGAGCGCCGGCTGAAAGGTGAGCTCGGCCCCGCGCCCCGCCGGCTGTGCGTGGCCTTTCCTCGCCGGGCCACAGACCGGGCGGCTGGACTGCAGGGCTGGCCCAGGGCTCGGCAGCTCGGAGAGGCGCTGCCGGGAAGACTGGGCGTGTCTGCGTCCGGGGGACCCTGAGAAAACCGCGTCTGCGGCCTCTGGTCCTCGGGGTGGCCGCTGCCCCGCCATCTTCCTCGGAACTTCCTCCCCTGCAGTGATGGCGAGTGACCACCGGGAGGCGCTGCTGGACCGGGAGAGCGAGCACGCCTCGCTCCGGGAGAAGCTGCGGCTCAAGGAGGCGGAGATAGCGCGGATCCGAGATGAGGAGGCCCAGAGGGCCAGCTTCCTGCAAAATGCGGTCCTGGCTTACGTGCAGGGGTCCCCCCTGAGGACCCTGAGCCCCCCAAAGTGAGGGAGGCAGACAGACGCCAGGAGTGGCAACAGGGTGGCTCTCAAGGGACAGGCTGCCAGGGTTGGGGTGTGCTTGGGCGGGGGAGGGGAGCGTCGGGGTGGCCGCGGCCGCCCGCCACCTGGGCGCCTGGCCGGCCGAGGGGGCCCCGCCCCTTCCCCACTCCCGCGTCTCTCCCAGCCGTGGTCGCGCCTGAGAAAACACTCCCTTGATGGGAGGGGGTGCAGAGGCTGAGCCCTCCCAGCCCCCTCCCCGCTCCACGGTCGCCTTTCACGGTACAGCTGCGAATGCAGTGGCGCGGGCCGCTCGCTCAGGGGCGTTCTGAAATAAAGAACTTTTGTACTTTGTGACACATTTCGGGCTCTGGGCCTTTCTCTCGCATCGGCCGGTGCCCCCAGCTGCAGCCTGCGAGGCCCCGCAGGGCCGATGCTCCGGGGAGCCGCTGGGAAGCAGCTCCTAGCGGGCTGGGGCCAGGTGGTGGGCAGGTGGGGCTGGGAGCCGCGGGCTGGGCCGCCCTCCTTGGCGGGGGCGGGGCGTGGTGACCGCACTCCCCCGAGCTCAGCAGCCCGCTCCAGGCCCGAGGGCGGCGGGGCCCTGGGAGTGGTCTTCCTAGAAGCAGCCACGTGCGCACAGAGCCCCTCACGCATGTGCAGGTGGGTGGGGATCGCCCGCCGGCGCTGCCCCTTGGCCGGGGTCACCCTGGGCATCGGGGAGTACTGTGCGCCGGTCCCTGCACCTAACCAGCGCGGGGTGCGGGGCCCGGGGCTCAGGGACAGGCTGGGGAGGCGGACACCCGGGCCTGACCTCACCAGATTTCTCCGGAAAGCCCGCGCCCCCCGCCGGCCACGCTCGGCTGTCTCCGCGCCCGGCGCTCGGCGGCGCTCGGCTGTCTCCGGCCGCTCGGCTCCGCGCTCGGCTCGGGTCCGCGGCCGCTGCGGCGCGAGTATTTCTCCGCAGCTCGCTGGCGGCCGCGCCCGCCCGGCCCGCGCCCATGCAGGCCATCAAGTGTGTGGTGGTCGGCGACGGGTGAGTGCGCGGCGGCGCCGGGCCGTGGGGCGGGGCGGGGACGGCCCGCCCCGGGCTGGGCTGAGCGCGTGGCTCGGGGGTGCGGCCGAGCAGCGGGCGCAGTGGGGCGGGGTCCCGGCTAGCAGGGGTGAGGCCTCCAGCCAGGCCCACCTGATGCTGCTTGTGTCCCCGCCTGACCGAAGCCTGGCCTTCCGGACGGTGGGGGGTGGGGCCGGCCTCTCACCTGGGCTGAATCCTCAGCGGGCCCCTCCCACCCTGACGCCCTCCGCGGGGTGGCGGGGACTGTGCCCCATCCAGTCCGCACCCCCTGGAGGCCCCTTGCCCTGGTCCTCCTTCCCCCGACCGAGGCGGCGGCGGATCTGCTGCCCTGGAACCCCAGTCCCCACCCCGGGCACCCTCACTCGGCCTGCCGCTCTGTGCAAGGGGGCCGTCCTGGCTGGGCAGAGGGGCGAACGCGGCCTGGGAGCAATGTGGGCTTGCCCTCCGTCCGCAGCGCCGTGGGGAAGACCTGCCTGCTGATCAGCTACACGACCAACGCCTTCCCGGGAGAGTACATCCCCACCGTGTGAGCGGGGCTGGCGGGCGCGGGCGCCAGAGGGGGTGGGGTGGGGGCGGGGCAGTGCTCCGGGCGGGCCGCCCCCCTGAGGTCTAGGCCGCCCCCCTGAGACCTAGGACGCCCCTACCCTCTGCCCCCGCAGTTTCGACAACTACTCGGCCAACGTGATGGTGGACGGGAAGCCGGTCAACCTGGGGCTGTGGGACACCGCCGGGCAGGAGGACTATGACCGGCTGCGGCCGCTCTCCTACCCTCAGACTGTAGGTGGTCCCTGGCCGGCCCGGGGGTGGGGGGGGTCCCCGCGGTCCTGGGGTGGTTGGCAGGGACACGGGGGCCTCCTCGAACGCGTCTACCTGATCCCCCCCCCCAGGATGTCTTCCTGATCTGCTTCTCCTTGGTGAGCCCAGCTTCCTTTGAGAACGTTCGAGCCAAGGTAGGGTAGCCCTGGGGGCATTTGTCTGGGGGTGAGGGGGTGCCCAGGGGACTTGTCCTGACCTGGGTCACGGGGTTGAAGACCTGACCCAGGCAGACTGTCCTTTGCAGGGGCAGGCAGTGCCTGTTCTGCTTGGTGTATAGGGTCGGCCAGGGCCAGGGCCAGGGCCAGGGGGTGACAAGGGGCTGGGGGTGGGGTGGTGAGCAAGGCTCTGGGAAGGCAAGGGCCCTGGCTGGGGGGCCCCGACCGGCCCTGAAGCTTCCCTGCTGGGTGTTCTTGCCCCACACCAAACCTGGTGGTGGTCACCCTCGAGGCGGGAAGGGCTGGGCGTGGGTCTGGTGGCCGCGAGGAAGGGCCCCGGGCAGCCGCCGCTGAGGGCAGGGGTCAGAGCCTCCGTCCCCACAGTGGTACCCGGAGGTGCGGCACCACTGCCCCCACACGCCCATCCTCCTGGTGGGCACCAAGCTGGACCTCCGGGACGACAAGGACACGGTCGAGCGGCTGCGGGACAAGAAGCTGGCGCCCATCACGTACCCCCAGGGCCTGGCCATGGCCCGGGAGATCGGTGAGTGCGCCGTCGACCCCCTTCCTCACTGCCCCCTGCCCCCGTAACTCCCCCCCCCACGTCCCCCCCAGGCTCGGTCAAGTACCTGGAGTGCTCGGCCCTGACCCAGCGCGGCCTGAAGACAGTGTTTGACGAGGCCATCCGGGCGGTGCTCTGCCCGCCCCCCGTGAAGAAGCCGGGGAAGAAGTGCACTGTCTTCTAGAACCCCCCCGCCCCGCCCCCGCCCGCTGTCCTGTCCAGCTGTGTCCAGCTGTCTGCGTCCCAGTCTGCTATGGGGAGGGGTGGGGAGGGGCAAGAAGCATGGGGTGGGCTGGGGTGGTGGGGTCCTGGCCACTCTGCCTCCTCTGGGGGGGGCACGGCTCCAGCCCGCCCTGGGCCCCACGGGAGGCCAGGAGGGAGCAGGGTCTCCCTCCGGCTGCAGGGGTGGGTGCAGGGCGGCCCCAGGATGGGCCTCCCTGCCAGGGGAGGGGGTTTCTGTCCAGGGGCCGGGAGGGGCAGCCCCTTTCTTATTTTATACAGTAAATGTTCTCCACCAACCTCTTCTGCGTGCTCACCCCTGCCTGCCTGCCCACCCCCCCCACCAGCCGTGGCACAGAGGGACCGAGCCTGCCCCTCACCCCAGTGGGAGAGCGGGGGAAAGAGCCCGCTGACCCGCCCCCATCCCCAAAGCGGCCCAGAGTGAGGTGGCAGCAAGGGTACTCCGTCCCTTCCGGACAAAGCCCAGGCGTCGGGCCTCCGGGAGGGGCAGGCACAGAGGAATGAGGTGGCTCCTGTCCAGCCCTCCCAGGTCGGGGGGCGGGAGACAGTAGGCCAGCCGGCCGGTCGTAGGGGCAGAAGGACTGGGACTGGCGAAGTGTGGAAGTCAGGACAGCGTGGAGGAGACAAGGGGCGGCGAGTGGGCGGTCCGGCGTCGCCGAGGTCAGAGACCGTGGGGGCGGAGAGGGCTCAGCCTGGGCGCGCCAGGAGCCTCGGTCCAGGGGCTCGGACTTCGCCCCTCGGGCCACAGGGCCCAGCTCCAGGCAGACTCGCGATCGGAAGGCCCCGCTCGCTGAGGGCTGCCCGGCCGTTCAACAGCCATCACTGCCAACTGCAGAAACCTGCGGCCTCTGGGAGGGCCCGTCTCCCGGCCTCTGCTGCAGGGCTGGCCGGGGCTGAACGGTGCAGGCAGGGGAGCCAGGCTGCCCAGCCCGGGACACGCGTCGATGGGCCACCTCCCCGCCTGGGACTCATCTCCACGCCCAGCCCCGAGCTCTGTGTCTCCGGGCCGCTGGCTGGCAACCCAGCAATCAGCCAGCCTGCGGGCTGAACAGAAGAATCATGTTTATTGCAGGGGCCTGGGGGCGGGGGCGGGGGGGGCAGGCAGGGCTCAGCACGGAGCACAGCTGCGTGTGCGTGACAGACAGTCAGGTGGCCAGGTAGCCCCCGTCCACTGGCACCGTGGAGCCCGTGGTCATGCTGCTCCGGTCACTCAGCAGGAAGAGGATGACATCCACCACGTTCTCCACCTCTGCGGGGGGTGGGTGGGGTGGGGGTCAGGGCCTGGAGCAAGGGGCTGCCCTCCATCCTTCCCGCCCACCCCTCGGCTGAAAGCCCGGTTCCACCCCAGCCGGGCGCTGGGCCGACTCACCCGCAAACCGGCCCAGCGGGATGCGGTCCAGCATGGTCTTGGACTTCTGGGGATCGCTCCAGTTGGCCTTGCCCATGGCTGTCATCACCACGGTGGGGTTCACTGCATTCACACGGATCTGCGCCGAGCCAGGGGCGGGGTCAGCACGGCGGGCTGGGGAGCCCCGGGCGTGCGGGCCGCTTGGGGGGCCGCCCCCGCGGGGCTCACCTTGTGCGGCCCCAGCTCCAGAGCCATCACTTTGGTCAGCATGTCCATGGCGCCCTTGGAGGCACCTGTGAAGAGGCCCCCGTGAGTGGAGCCTGGGCTGGCTGCAGGCTGGGGGGCCGGGGGGCTGCAGGGAGCAGGGCCGGGGCGCTGGGGCTCACTCACAGTAGACGGCGTGGTTGTGCAGCGCGCGCTGGGAGGTCTGGCTGGATACATTCACGATGGACCCCGGGGCTCCGCGCGCCACCAGGCCCCGAGCCACGATCTGCAACGGCAGGAGGCACCCGGGGCAGCACGGGCGTCGCCTACCCGTCCCCACGCCTGCCCAGAAGGCCGCTCACCTGCGACACCTGGATGACAGCCCTCAGGTTCACGTCGAAGGAGCTGGAGGCAATGGACAGGCCTGGTCAGGGATGGGGGCCGCCGCGGCAGGGGGCCGCCCTCCCGCCCAGGGCCCCGGCACCCCTAGGGCTCACATGTCACAGGCCTCCTTGGTGACCTCCAGGAAGGGCTGCAGCATTGCCACGGCGGCGTTGTTCACCAGCAGGTCCACGGGGCCCACGCCGCCCAGCGCCCGCTCCGTGGCCTCCCAGTCGCCCAGGTCCACACACACGGGCTTCACCCCGGGGCACTGCGTGCGCATGGTGGGCAGGGCACAGCCATCAGGGCTTCCAAGCCCCCAAAGAGCGCCCCCCCCCCACAGGGCTGTCGGCCCTCAAGGTAGGGGGTGGGATGTGGGAGACCTATCAGACCAACGTGGGGGAGGGGCCGGGGTCCCAGAGAAGCCAGCCAGTTCTTGGGGCTCAGAATCCCCGTCGGCTGAGGAAGGGGGAGCTAACGTGGCCCCTGGGTCACTGAGCGACTCGGAGCTTCCGAACCAGGAGCCTCAGACAGGACACTTCCTCCGCGCACCCGCTCCGCCCGCCCTCTGGCCCCGGGCCTGCGAGGCAGCCATTTCTGCTTCCTTCTCAGCCCAGGGGGCGTCGCCATGCCCTGGGCCACTCCGGAGCCCGCGGAGTGAGTCCGCGCGCCCTGGGAGAGTTGCTGAGGGTCCTCGTCAGTCCGGGCCTGGCGCCCGCGCGTCCTGCATGCCCCCCCCCCGCCCCGCGTGCCCCGCTGCCCCCTGGGCTCCGACTCGGCGGCGTCTATACCTCGCGGACCAGGCTGTCCAGGTCGCCCTGGGTCCGGCTCACGGCCACGACCTCCACACCCGCCGCGTGCAGCGCCTGGACCGTGCTGCGCCCTATGCCTGCGGGGAGCGCGGCTTAATGCAGACGCCCCCCACCGCCAGCCACCCTCCCCGCCCCACCGGCCGCCCCCGGGAGCCGGCCCACCTTTGCCCGCCCCGGTGACGAGCGCCCGGCGGCCCGCAAGCCCCAGCTCCATGGCGGCGCAGCCCGGCGCTGTGCTCCGGCCGCCCCACTGCGAGCGGGGTCCGGAGAACTCTGGGCCGGAGAGCGCGGCGCGGGGGCGGGGCGGCGCGGGGGCGGGGCCAGACTGGGGGCGGGGCCAGGCGAATAGCAGCCCCCTGCGAGGCAATTGGCCAAAAGGAGTGGGCGCAGCGCGGGCGGGGCGGCCAGGGGCCTTGCCCGCCCTGGGGCGGGGTTTTTCCCGCGGCTCAGTGGCGACCCACCAGGTGAGAAGGCGGTTTGGCGAGTTTTCCCCGCCGAGAGGATTAACCACATTGCTAAAAACCGGAGGCGGTGGTTAATACCTCGGAGAACTCAGTGCTAATATTTCTTCTCTTGTTTCGGAGAAGAAAAGTTCGGCGTGGAGGACCGCTCGCCCGTCCTCCTCCCCCAGACCTCGGAGTGGCTCACTCGGGGTGCCCAGAAGGAAAGAGAATTCAATGCCGACGACGGCTCACTGCAGCCTCGGAGGGAACTGAAACCCAGAATCACCCCGGCCAACCCACAGAAGGCCACTGGCACTTTTTTATTTATAAGCATTTTATTTATTTATTTTTAGAGAGAGAGGAAGAGAGGGAAACATCAATATGTGCTTGCCTCTCTCACACCCCCTGCTGGGGCCCTGGCCCACAACCCAGGCATGTGCCCTGACTGGGAATCCAACCTGCAAACCTTTTGGTTCCCAGGGGGGCACTGAATCTACTGAGCCACACCAGCCAGAGCCACCAGCACTTTCAAAACCGTGTATACGATAGGAAGGAACAGGATTGGGGTCCTCGGGGGACACGGTGGCCAGCCAGGGCCAGCACTGCTTCCTGAGGCTTTTAGGTCACCTACAGATGTAGGCATGCGCACTGGCTTCCCGGCACGAGCTGTTCCGTTGGAACAGCTCGTGCCGTTCTGTGGGTCACGTGGGGAAATCTCAAACCGTGGCCCTGAGGACCTTCTGTGGCCAGTTGTAGGAGACTGGTGATTGCAGGACTCCTGGGTCGCCTGGGGCTTTGGGCCCAGATACGTGGACAGGCGGGAGGAGGTGGCCAGGGCACTGGAGAAAACTGGGGAACAGCAAAGAACGTCTCCCCGTCAGGCCTGGCCCTGCGGTGCACCCCACACCTCCAGGCGCCAGACAAAACCTGCTTTCGGCCTTGGACCTTGACCTCTGCCTGCCAGAGGCCAAGGGAGGGACAGCTCCTAGCTCGTCCTTCCAGAAAGGTGCTTTTCTGCTTAGATCTCTTCAGGGGCTTGACCTGGCCCCAGAACGGTGTCTAAATCCTTTCTCTCGTCCTGTGACCCGGCTCTGAGAGGCCCTTGGTAGGGGGAGGCGCAGCCAAAAGCGCCCTCACACTCCCCACCCCCACTCTGCACGTTGTCTGGAAGGCCCCACACCAGCCCCTCCTGCCCTGCCCCCATGCCGGGGGTGGATGGACACTGCCGCCTCGGGCCTCATTACGTCCACACTCGGCCTGCTAGACGGCACAGGCCGTGCGAGGACCTGACCCGGGCCAGCACCACCGAAACCCCGCGGGGCTGGAAGACCCTCTCGGCCGTGCCCGGGTTTCAGCTAAGGAGCGCAGGAAGAGCAGGGGCTGTGGGCCACGCCCACCCCAGCTTGGGCGCCCTCTCGTGGACGGTCTTGTAGGGAGCGTGCCGGAGGCGAAGCTGCGTTCCCTGGCGTTGGATAAACTACACCCAGCACCCAGCCCCTCGCTCTGGCCCCGCCTTCCCTGGGGAGGACCCAGCGTCTCGCCCTCCGCTCCCGCTCCACAGACCCTCTGCCCGGTCCGACCTGCAGCAGTCCGACCGCAGGCGCCGGGCGGGAGGGCAGTCGAGGACAGAGCCTCAGGGAAGGGAAGGTGGTGCAGGCTGCCCTCCGCCCTCTGCCCAGGGCAGGTTGGGGGTTTGGGGTGGGGCGTGCACAGGAAGAATCTCTTCCCTCCTAACTTCACGGAAGGTGCAATGTGAGCCCCACGGCCCCTAACCCTGGGTCCCCAGCCTCGAGGTGTGCCCCTCCAGAGCCCTGGCACCCCTGGTTCCGGGAGCATGGCCTCCGTTTATTTATTTAGGCGAATCGACCCCAGTACAGCGGAGGTCACAATCAGTGGTGGAGGGCGACACGGGAGGGGAATCCTGGCAGCGAGGTAGGGCAGGCGGAGGAGCGGGGCCAGACGCCGGGCGGTGGAGCGGAGGTGGAGAGGCGGGGCCAAGGGAACGGCGGGGCGGGGCCGCGGAGACGCAGCTATTGATATTAAATGCGGTCAGGGGCGTGGTCTGATGGGGGCGTGGTCAGGGTGGAGGTGGGGCGGGGGTGGGGCCAGGCGGCCTTGGGGATCGCGGCGTGGAGGCGGGGTAAGGCTGGGCTGGGCGGTGGGCGGGGTCCCAGCCCGGAGACTCGGCTGGGAGAAGCGGAGGACCGCCGGGCAGTCCGCACCACCGCGCTGCTCTAGGAGGTCAGGTACCCGGCGTCCACTAGGAGGCTGGAGCCGCTCGTGGAGGCGCTGCGGTCGCTGAGCAGGAACAGGATGCTGTTGACCACGTCCTCCATCTCTGCAGCGGGCGGCGGGCGGGTCAGCGCGCTCTCCTTGCCGCCCCAGCCAAGCCCGCCCCTCCTCGCAGCCGGTCTGACCTGCAAACTTCTTCAGCGGGTGCTGCTCCTTAATCTTCCGGGCGAACTCGGGGTCGCTCAAGCTTTGTTGGCTCATGGCCGTCAGCACAACCGTGGGGTTCACGGAGTTCACCCGGATCTGGGACCAAGGGGCGGGGGGCTGCAGCCTCGGCCCGTACACCAGCCCTGCCCGCACAGCCCCCCACCAGGCTGAGCTTGCTTAGTGTGTTCCAGCCAACCCCTGACCTCACCACCCAGAGACCTGAGTGGCCCCACGCCCCTCTCACGTCCACTGCTCCCCTTCCCTTCTCACCCCCAGCCTCGCCCCTACAGGCCCAGCCCGGCTCACCCAGCGCCCCACGTTCACCTTGTGCGGCCCCAGCTCCAAGGCCATGGCTTTGGTCAGCATGGTCATCGCACCCTTGGTGGAGCCTGTGGGGAGGACAGCACGCAGCACCCTTCAGGGATTCATCAGCCTTCTCTGCGGGGAGGCCCGGCCCCAGGGTGCGGTGCGGGGAGGGCACAGACTGGGCAGAGGGATGACCCACTGTAGACAGCGAAGTTGGGGAAGGTGACGTAGGCTGTTATGCTGGAGACGTTGACGATGGAGCCAGGCACCCGGCGCTCGATCATGCCTCGGGCCACCACCTGCAAGCCGAGAGGGGTGGCAGCCTGACCCCACCCCCCACCCCACCCCCCAGGGGCCGCGCCAGCCGTGGGGCCGCGCCCTCCCGCCGGCTCACCCGGGACACCTGGAACACGGACCGCAGGTTCACGCCGAAGGACCTGAGGGGGAGCCGGCGTGTCAGGCGGGCCGAGGCCACGCCGACCCGCCTCCCTGGCAGCCCTCTCCCGGCCCCTCCTGCTTCCCACCTGTCGAAGGCCTCCTTGGTGACCTCCAGGAAGGGCTGCGGCAGCGCCACGGCGGCATTGTTCACCAGCAGGTCCACGGGGCCCACGCCGCCCAGCGCCCGCTCCGTGGCCTCCCAGTCGCCCAGGTCCACGCACACGGTCTCTACCCCGGGACACTGTGGGAGGCATCGGACGGTGGCCGGGGTGGTCCCAGCAGGCCCAGGAGGCACCGCCAAGGGCGTGGGGAGGGGCGGGTGACGCCTCACCTCCTCCGAGAGGCTGACCAGGTTGGCTCTGGTGCGACTCAGGGCCACCACCCTGGCCCCCGAGGCGTGCAGGGCCTTGGCAGTGTGGCGTCCGATCCCTGCAGGGGAGCACCAGGCGGGCAGCGGCGCACCACGTCTGGGTCAGCGCGGGGGCTGGGGCTGCAGCTCTGCTGCTCGGAGGGAGCAGCGAGAGGGTGCTGGCCGGAGGGTGCCGGCCTGGAAGTGTGGGGGCTTGAGCCAGAGGCTCACTCAGCAGGATCGGGCCAAGGGAGGCCCCCAAGGGCAGCTCCTTCCTGCTGGTCTGGGGAAGACACCGTGGCTGGACCCCCCCTCCACCCATCCTGCGTCTTGCACTGACCAGGGAGGGGCAGTGTCCTGTCCAGCACGGGGGCCCAGCCACCTTGCTCTCCACCTCAGCCCCCCCCCCACCTGCTCACTGACACTCACCTTGCCCTGCCCCTGTCACCAGGGCCCTGAGGCTGCTGAAATTGAGCTGCATGGTGCTGACCCCAGCCCCTGTCCAGCGGGAGAGCAGGTTTTATACCCGGGAGGGAGACGTGGTCCCAGCTAGGGAGGCTGGGCCTTGGGCGTGGCTGGGCATGGGGGCAGCTTCTGCTTCCTCGTTCACGGGAACCTGCCCCCCTGGAAGGGGCTACCCTCCTCACCCACAACCCGAAAGGTGCCAGCCAGAAGCTCCACCCTGGGTTTTGGGAAATAAATTAAAATGAATTCCGGGGCAGGATAGATGCTCCTTCCCGGCTAGCTGGGGGCAGATGGCCTGGAGCTGGCCCCTGCAGATGCTGGGCTGGGCGGCCCTGGGCGACGGCTAAGCTGTCCTTGAGGGTGGCTGGCCCCCTGCCCCCGCCGACCTGACCTCACTGCAACCCCAATCTGGGGGCCCCTGGGGCCTCCGGAGTCTTCTGCACCTGCCCCTGCAGGGCCTGGGAGCCCTGCCTCTGTGCCCACAGGCTCTGCCTCCCTGGGGCGCCCTGGTTCCCTCCGAGGTGAGGCTGCAGGGATGGGGGTGTCCGCTCGGCCCCCTCCTGCCCTCACGGGGCCCACACCGCAGTGTCAGTCCTCGGACCCTTCTGGTGGGGGCAAAGGGCTCAACGTGTGCTCCCACTCTGCGCCACTGACACCTGTGGGTCCTGACGCCAGTTCCACTGCAGGAAACAAGCCTGAGAGGGTGTGTGAGCACCTCCCAGGCTTGGGTTACAGGTTCCCAGCGCCGACACCTCCATATGAGGGTGCAAGGGCCACAGCAGGGCTCGTGACACCTGCGGCGGGCCCTCCAGGTGTGGCCCTGATGGGCCTAGGGGTGCCTCGGTCACCCTCCCTCACTCAGACTCGGGGCCGGACCCCCAGTGTGGCCCCCGAGAGGGGCTGTCTCTGCGACCTCCCGGCCCCTGGAGGCCCAGGTGGGGTCAGGCAGGGAGAAAAGGCGAGTGATTCGATCGCCTTGCACAGGTGTGGTTTACCGGACTGCTGTGAGCCGGGGTAACTCGAGACGAAAGCTCTCCTGGCATCTGGGAAACAAAGGTTAAGGAGCCAGTAGCCCAGCGGGCCTTCAGATAACGCCTCTTGTTCAAGGTCGTTTCACTGCCAGTCAAGGAGAAAGAACAGCGACTCCTGGCGGGGACCGCCGCCCGTGTGGCGTCTGCACGGCGTCCCCACGTCTGTGCGGGTTTCCTCCGGGTGCAGGGGGGCGGGGGTTGGTGGGGCCAGAGCGTCGCCGTCAGAGTGCGGGTGGGGTCTGCGAGTGACCCTGGGGGGAAAGGGTGCCCGGCCCACCTTGGGTCCTGTGTTTCACCCTGAGCTGAGGGAGGGGCTCCAGCCACCAGAGACCCGGACCTGGAATAAGAGGGTCAGAGGAGAGCCACCTTCCGCCCTGGCTGGTGTAACTCAGTGGGTTCAGTGCTGGGCTACCAGCCAAAGGGTTGATGGTTCGATTCCCAGTCAGGGCACACGCCTGGACTGCGGGCCAGGTCCCCAGTGGGGGCGTGTGAGAGGCAACCACACGTTGGTGTTTCCTTCTCTTTCCACCTTCCTTCCCCTCTGTCTAAAAAAATAAAATCGTTTCTTTAAAAAAAAAAACAAAGAAAGACTTCCTAAAGCCCTGGCTGGCGTAGCTCAGTGGATTGAGCGCGGGCTGCGAACCAAAGTGTCGCAGGTTCGATTCCCAGTCAGGGCACATGCCTGGGTTGCAGGCATGACCCCCAGCAACCTCACATTGATGTTTCTCTCTCTCTCTCTCTCTCCCTCCCTTCCCTCTCTAAAAAGAAATAAATAAAATCTTTAAAAAAGAAAGGAGAGAGGCTAGAAAAGCAAAGGAAATTGAACCTAGTTACACTTCATTGTCCTTCTTTCACCTTCCCGCCCTTCACAAACACCCATGAACCTTCAAAAAAAAAAAGACTTCCTTATTTTTATCAATCTTTTTTACTTTTACTTTTTTTAAGGAGAGAAACACCAATGTGTGGTAGCCTCTTATGTGGCCCCCACAAAGGCCCAGTGCACAAACCCAGGCAGGTCCCCTGATGGGGAATCGAACCAGCAACCCTTTGGTTTGCAGGCTAACACTCAGTCCACTGAGCTACACCAGCCAAGTAATCTGTCTCCTTTTAAAAAAAGGTTTTATTTATTTTTAGACGGAGGGGGAGAGAGAAAGAGAGGGAGAGAAACATCAGTGTGTGGTTGCCTCTCATGCGCCCCCTACTGGGGCCCTGGCCTGCAACCCAGGCGTGTGCCCTGCCTGGGAATTGAACCAGAGACCATTTGGTTCACAGCTCAGCACTGAATCCACTGAGCCACGGCTATTAATCTTCCTTATGTGGGCATAGCTCACCTTGAGATCGAGGTTTAACACCAGAAGTATGAAAACACGAACAGCCACTTCAGAAACGGGCCGGAGCCACCTCCGGGAGGAGCGGCCCTCGCAGCACGTGCTTAGGGGACGCCCCCTACCCTTGAGCGGGCGTGTGAGTTAGAACGGGGCAAAGCAACCTGCGGCCTGCACACTGTAAACCAACACTGTAACACAAACAGCTGTTTGCAAAGAGAACAAAGAAGCAGGACGAGGTGGGACTGAAAACTAGAAACAGTGTCCGGAGTCAGGCGGCCGTGCTCAGCTGCCCGCACCCGGATCCTGCCTCCCAACTGCAGGCGGAGCTCCCCGGCCGCTCAGCAGCGCCCCCTCCGCGGAGGGACACGGCCCGGGCTTCCGCCGCCGGGTCGGCGCCTCCCCAGCAGGCGTTCTCGGCTGCAGCGTGCGAGTCGGTGCCTCTCACTTCGCCTGGTATTTTCAGGTCAACTGGAGTGTTCTGGGTCTCCATTCAGAAGTTCGGGGGTGCTTTTGTGGCCAGAAGCATGGCGTTGGGACTTAACTCTCGTTCACATCAATTAGTCTGGGGTGAAAGTAACTTTGTTATCCCTCCCGTCACTCGGAGTCGGTTTCCAAGAGCCCAGCACGAGGACTTGCCATGTTTCAGATGCGGCGTCCTTGGAGGTGCCGTGCGTGCAAGGCTCGGGAAGGACACAGGTTTATTCACTGAGCGGGGCCTGCACGCACATCACAGACACCTGGGTTGTGGGGACGTCTGGGCAGAGAGGGCCTGCTGCTCTCTCTGGGGGGTGGGGGGGGCGGGGAGCCAGGGGCCCGCCCCTTGAGCACCAGAAACAAGTTGCTATTTTCTCTTCTTAAAAAAACAGCCCTGGCTGGTGTGGCTCAGTGGATTGAGTGTCAAGCTGCGAACCAAAGGGTCACCGGTTCCGTTCCCAGTCAGGGCACACGCCTGGGTTGCGGGCCAGGTCCCCAGCAGGGGGCCCGAGAGAGGCAACCACACATTGATGCTTCTCTCCCTCTCTTTCTCCCTCCCTTCCCCTCTCTCTAAAAAGAAATAAAATTTTAAAAAACACACCAAAAACTCTCCCCCCCGCCGACCCCTGACAAGCTACGCTTCAAGTGCTCTGTCTGCAGAACAACTCCTCAAGAGAGGCGCTCTCTCACCACCCCTCCCTCCCCAGGCCATGAGAACGGCACGCCGGCGCTTTCGGCGGACTCCTGCTCTGGCCAGTCCAGCGGCCAGTCCCAGCGGTCACTTCCAGGCCCCCACTCAGCCTGGGGGTCTGCCCAGGGGAGAAGCGGTTGGGTGCACACACGGGCACAGTGGGGGGGGGGCCTCGAGGCCAGGTGAGCCACGGCTGTGGCGAGGGGGCCGGGGGTGCTAGGGCTGGGGAGGGGGGACTTCTCGGGGACCCCGGGAGCGCTCGTGAGTGCGTGTGTCACTGGGGGGGGAGGCCTGTGTGCGTGAGAGGGCGGCTCTGGGCAAAGGCTCCGATTCCCTCCTGTGAGGCCCCGAGGAGGAAAGGCTTTCATTTGCTTTTCCTGCTTCCCACGAGAGGAGAGGTCTTGAGCGGCCCTTCCTGAAACCGGACCCGGGACCAGTGCGCTCTGTGGGTAGAGGGCTGTCCCTTGGGTGTCCCCCAAGGAGGCCCTGCTCCAGGCTGCAGGGGGAGGGCCCGGGGGGCCCCAGGGAGGACGAGGCACCCAGCGCAGCCAGAGGCAGGAGCACCAGGTCGGAGGCCCCACCTGGCTGTCGGGCTGCACGGTCTCTCAGGGGACGGGGGCCCCACCCACTGCCCTGCTTCACCCCTGCCAGTCTCCCCCCACTCCCCACCCTCCCCCCGCCCTCCCTAGGAGGCGGAAGCATTGGCCCCTTTGTGTCAAACTCAGGCCTCCGAGTGGGAGTGGAGGGGGCGGCTGGGGCCCCTGCTCTCTCCTCGCGGGCAGTGGGCTCCCTCTACCTGCTTGGCTCTGGGCCCAGCTCCTCTGGGGTCGCCTCTCTGGGTGTCCGCGCCCCTAGTGTGGCTCTCACGCCCTCCATCTGCTCTGTCAGCCATGTTTGCCCTGCCTGGAGACAGCCCGAACCCGGGGAGGCTGGGAGGGGCGTTCTCTCCATCGTCTGCCCCCCGCACCTGGCACAGAGAGTGCTCCCCGCGCGCGTCTGCAGGTGAGTGGGTGAGCGGTGCACGCCCCGGAACAAGGGCGATGGCCCGCCGGCGGCCACGATGAGCACAGGCCATGACCGCTGCACGGGGGGTCCCTGAGGCCCAGAGGGCGGGAGGAGGGCTCGGGGGCGTGAGTCGAGGTGACAGTGGTGAAGACTTCAGCTCCTACTCTGAGCCCGTCTCCAAGGAAGGTGCTATTGGTATTGAACCCCCCAGACACAAGGCCACGAACCTGTCAGTCCACGAACCCCACAGAGCGGCGTCAGGCCGGAGGCAGTACAGGGGGCTTCCTGGAGGAGGCGAGAGGCAAGCAGAGAGAAAGCTCGAGGGGATCCTGCTGCGCAGGAAGAGACAACCCGACCAGGTCAGTGGACACAGGTCACCACTCTCCTTCTACCACTTGTGTGTGTGTACACTCGAGCACGCACACGGGGACACACAGGACACATGCACATGTGTGCACAGACACACAGACCAGGCACCCACGGACACATGTGTGCACACACGGGGGAAACATGGCATGCACACATGTGCTTCCACCCACAGGCACACCTGTGTGCACATGTCGCACATGGTGGCACACTCATCAGGCCAGCAGGAGGAAGGGGACCCTGGGGGTCAGCAGGCTCATCCTCCATGCTGGCCTGGGCCAGTAGCCTGGCCATGTCCTTGCCACTGCTCAGGGTCACCCTGCAGGACCCGAGGAGGGGACGGAACCCTGGCTCCCCCTGGAGCTGGTGAGGCAGGCCGGACCTGGAGGGAGGGGCAGCTGACAGCACTTGAGGGACAGGTCCTGAGACAGCTGCTGTTCCCGGGTGGGTCTCCCGGGTCTCTCAGGGGTGCCAGACCTGGAGCCTTTGCATGTGGCATGGGGGGGTGCCAGGGCAAAGCTCACTCCTCCAGGTAGGGTGTTAGGAGACACCTCCCACGGTATTTTGTCGTCTTCCGGAGCGGGGGGATCGAAAAGACCTGTGACCCTGCAGCTCCATCTTCCCTGGACCCTGCGCTGGCCCTTCCGGCCTCGGGACCACCCTTGTGTGGCCCGCCGTGGTGGGTGGGGGCCACAGTCCTGAGCTGACCACGAGGCGGGGGCGTGTCAAGAGTGAGCAGACTTGGGAGGCGCCCAGGACTAGGACAAGGGACATCGCTGCAGGACAGAGACCCTGCCCTGTGCGCAGGAGTCCGGGGCGGAGGCCCTGCTGCGGGGGGGGCAGGGTGGCTGCGGGGGGTCAGGGGTCGCTCCTCGGCAGGCCAGGGCACTGGGTCTTCAGCCTCTTCTGCCTGCTTCCCCCACACCCTTGTCTCCCCCGGTCACATGAAGAAGCTTTGCTTTCTGCGACAACTGTCAACAACCAGCTGCCCTGGCAGACCCTGTGGCCTCAGGACGCAGCCCGGCCCTTCCTCCCCGTGGAGGTGCCAGGAGGTCCTGGGGCGACCAGCCCTCTGGACCTGGTGACGGAGGGGTCTGAGCTGCGGAGGTGGCGGTGTGGTCCCATCTGACGCCGCCCTGCTCTGAGCGGGGCGGACACCGAGAGGCCTGCGGCGGGGGCGGCTCGGCTGGGGTCCGAGTCTCTGGGGCCGTTGGGCCTTCTGGGTCTGGAGACGTGGGAGCACAGACTCCTGGGAACGGGCTGCAACACCCCCCCACCCCAGGTGCCCTGTGCCAGCCTCGGGCTCCAAGGCTGCCCCGAGGTCCAGCGGACTCCGCCAGCCTCTCCTGGAGCCCCGCCCCCTGCGGGTTGGCTGCCTGTCCTCGGGGCTGTCCTCGGGGCCTTCCTCTGCACTGGCCTCACCAGACCGGCACGCCCTGGGCCTGGGCCTCCCTCCAGACCTGCAAAGCGAGACCTGGCTCTTGTGGGAGCAGCTGTTTCAGTAGAAGCGGGAAATTACTGGTTCGAAAGTTTATGGTCCGGGTCCGACGCTGCAAAGTGGCAGCAGCGAGGCCTTGGGAGAAAAAGCCTCCCGGCCTGAGGCGACGCACTTGAACTCAGACCAAACAAGGACATGCACGGAGGAACAGACCCAACTCACAAACCCTGGTGAAACCCAGCCTCGGAGGCCTGTCTGCGTCCTGAGGGCGGCCACCCCGTTCCCAGGGGCGGGCCTGGTGGTGCTGCCCGGGCTGAGGCCAGTAGACAGGGTGACGGAGGGCGGGCACGAGCTCCCCTCCCAGCGGCCTTGCAAGGACTCAGTCCTTGGAGCCCCGGCTGCCGTGGCTCAGTGGACTGAGCCCTGGACTTCGAACCAAAGGGTCGCCGGTTTGATTCCCAGTCAGGGCACGAGCCTGGGTTGTGAGCCAAGTTGTGCCCCCCACTAGGGGGCGTGCGAGGGACAACCACACACCGATGTTTCCCTCTTGCTCCTCTTCCCCTCTTTTTAAAAGTAGGTAAGGATCACAGGTTCGATTCCCCATCAGGGCACATGCCTGGGTTGCAGGCCGTGGCCCCCAGCAACCGCACATCGATGTTTCTCTCTTTCTCCCTCCCTCCCTCCCTTCTCCCCTCCCTCCCTCCCTTCCTTCCCTCTCTAAAAATAAATAAATATAATCTTTTAAAAAAGTAAATAAAATATATATATAATAAAAAGAAAGGTATTCTTATAAAAGGGAAAAAAAGGACTCGGTCCTTGCAGATGAAGAGCCAGGTTCTGAGTAATAACCCGGACGTGGTTTCCGTGCGGACTCGAGACCCTCCGTGCCCTGTCCCACCAGGGACGCCTGCCACGGGCCAGGCCCAGGGAGGAGGGAAGTCCTTCCGGGACGTTACGGGGACAGGACTAGGAGCCCTGGTGGCTGTGAATGGAGCACAGGCGAACCACTCGGGGCCAGAGGTGGGCCGTGGGGGCCGGTGCCCCTGTGCCACAAGCACCCCCTTCCCTCGGGGGCTCTGTCACTGCGGCCGCCGCGGCAGACCACTGCCACCACGGGGAGGCCTCGGGCTCGCACGGCTCCACCCCCAGCATTCCTCTCCGGCCCGGAGCCCGACAGGGCACCCAGGCAGGGGCCTCTCCCGCCCCCACCGCCCCAGGCCCCGAGGACCCAGACACCTGACTCCAGGTGTCCTTGGGGCGTGTCCTCCTGACCGCACCAGCCACGTGCACAGTGGCCGGACGTGGGTGCTGTCCGTCTGCACGCCCCACGGGCATGCCTAATGCAATGCACACAGCCCTGCACACCCACGTGCGCAGCTGCTTTCGCGTGTACACAGCCGTGTACACACACACAGGCACGCCTCTGCACGTGTGTGCGCACACACGCTATCTCTGACGTGCTGAGAGATGAGGTGTGACACGCAGGGAGGCCACCTCCACACGCAGGGCTCGCTGCCTCCCGCAGGAGCCCCTTGCTGCGCCTCAGCTCGCAGAGAAGACCCCGGGGGCGGCCGGGGCTGCGTGGGCAGGGCGGGAGCCCTTGGGGGCTGCGGCTGGACGCCGGCGGCCTGTGCCGGGCGCAGCTGCCGGGAGCCCCGCCGGCCCGTGAGAAGGCGCTGAGCCGGATGTAACAATCGCACTTTTATTCGCTTATTGCAACAGCACAGGAGAGGCCGGGGAGGGGCCGCGGGCCGGCACCGCTCTCCCCTCCTGGAAAGGCACCGGCAGGTGGGTCGGGTCCGCGCAGGCCGGGGGCTGGGCCGCCGCAGGGCCGCACGGGAGGCCCCCCGTCTCGTGGAGCTGGAGCCGGGGCGGAGGGCCAGCACGGACCCCGGGTCCGAGCCCAGGAGCGACGTCGAGGCCCCTGGTGCGGGGTCTGGCCGAGGAGCCCGAGGGGAGCACCCCCAGCAAGGCGGCCTCTACGTGGGAATGCCGGAGGGGGCCCAGCTGACGGGGGGCCGGGGCTCCCTGGAGAGTTAAGGCCTCTGAAAAGAACTCCATGTGGGACCCAGTCTGGAGCCCACTCCTCAGGGCTGGGCCTGCCCGGGGCTCCCTCCCCCGCAGGGAGACTCCTTCCTGGGCACTGGACCCCAGACCCTCCCAGCCCCAGACCTGGGTGGGGGTGGGGCGAGCCTTGGGGCGGGGCTGGGTGGGGCGGAGCAGCAGCCTGCCCACGAGCATCTGACTCGCGGGCAGGGCAGACGGGCAGGGCAGGCAGCCGGCCCTGCTCCCCAGGGTGCCTGGTCACTGGCCCTGCAGGGGCCTTGTCTGTGGGCTGCGCACGTCTTCCTGGATATGGCTGCGGCTGTGGCCGGGAGCGCCTAGGGGAGTCGACTGAGGCCAGGAAGGAGCAGGCACTGCCCAAAAGCCAACCCCGAGGTCAGGGGTTGAGGGTCACTGAGAGGCAAGGTCACCCCGCTTCTGCACAGGACACCAGTCCGTGTCCGGGTAGAGGAGGCAGTGGACGGACTTGAACCTGGAAAGGGGGGCGTGGGGTCAGGGCCACGGGGAGGGCGGGCCAGCTCTGGAGCCCCTCCCCACGGCCCACTCACCGGGTGGGGTCCTGCTGCAGACTGAAGGCTCCAGCCACGTTCACCACGTTCCGTGGGTTCTCGGGACCCCCGTAGCTCAAGGTCACCTACGAGGAGAGGACGGCTCAGCCCCAGCGCCGCCCCCCCGCACCGCAGCACCCCCAGCCCTCTGAGGATTCAGCCAGGAGAGGCCGCCGGGTCCCCGGTCCTCCGGGCAGGTCTGAGCAGAGCTCTGGGGGATGGGCCGAGTGGCGTGGCCAGCACAGAAGCCGCTGCCGAAAGGCAGCTGGTGCCCGCGCCCTGAAACGGTCCCGGCGCCCTGGTCTGGGACTCCCATCACTGCCCAGACCACTGCCCGCCGCCCAGGGCCTGTCCGTCCAGGAAAATGCCGTGGGTGCCCTTTGCAGATGAGCCCCCACCACACCTGGGCTCCCCCCCCGGGCTGGGCCCCCCCGCCACATGCCCGAGGCGGCGCACCTGCTGGAGCACGGTGTCGGGTGGCAGCCGGCGCAGGTTCTCCAGGTGGGAGTGGAAGAGCGAGCTGCGCCGCAGGCGCGCCCCCAGCATCCCCTCCGCGATGTAGCCCACTGTGCAGTCGTCCGGCAGCCTCAGCCGCTCCGCCGTGCTCATGAAGCTGCCCAGGCTGCGGGGCGGGGCGGTCAGCGCCTCTCCGGCCCCCGGTCCCCTCCCTGGGTCGCCGGCACCCCCGCGGGCCGCCCCCTCACCTGGCCCACGGGCTCATCTTCAGGGCGAGGCCCCTGCTGAGGCAGAACCCGGCCCCCCCGGTGGCAAACCAGAACTTGACAGTGGTCACCTGGGGAGGAGAGAACCGCCAGTCAGGGCTCCTCACCCTGACTCTGGACACTGGGGTGTCACCCGCGAGCCACTCCTGAGCAGCTCTGGGTCCTGGCAGCAGGGGCTCCCGGGCCCTGAGGGGCTGGGGCTGCCGCCACCCCGCTGCCTCGCAGCCCCAGCCCCTCCCATAGGGCCTCCCAGCTTGCCCAGCCACTGCAGCGCCCCATGCGAGTGGGTCCGGCGCCTGCCCCTCCCCGGCCGCTGCTCACAGTGCCACCTCCCTGGACCCGCTCGGCAGCCTCGATGGGGTGGTCCAGGCTGGGCCGCCCCAGGTACACGTCCTGGCTGGGGGAGAAGGCGGACAGCAGCTGCAGCAGGCCCTCGGCGTTCACGTAGTTGTCGTCGTCCACGTGGCAGAACCACCTGGGGGCAGGGGCGGGGGCAGTGTCAGCGCCTGCGGCCAGGTGCGAGGCCCCGGCCCCCCCGAGGGGCTCGGCCCCCACGCACTTGCGCCCGGACTCGATGAACTTGTCGTACTCCACCGACATCTTGCAGCACAGCGCCTGGCGGGTGTGCACGGCTGAGCAGTTGGTGTTGATGACGTGGCTGCCTATGGGGTTGAGGGACCGGGGGACGAGTGAGGGCCAAGGCAAGCCCACCTGCCAGCCCACCCCACTGCGGCCGGGGTGAATCATAGCTGCAGCCCCACAGGCCCCAGCCACCTTGCTCTGCTCCAGGCCCCGCGGCCGGTCTGACCGCAGGTCCAGTGCGGCCTCACCCGGCTGACCCTGTTGCTGCACCCTAGGGCCCGCGCAGAGGGATGACCACCTGGAACCCCAAATGGATGCGCACGGGGGAATGGCCTGAGGGCGGACTGACCCCACTGGCTGGGCTTCTCCAGGGCAGGTGGGGCCAGGGATGCTGCCCTCCACCCACTGGTGACCCTGAGCAGGTGCCTTAACCCCCCTGACTCTCCGTACATAGCAGGGAGGCGCATGGCGCTGGACCGAGGACAGAGTGAGGGGGGCACTGGGCACGCTGGCCAGGGGGGCACTCACCTCCCTGGCGCTGCAGGTCAGGGTCGTCTCCATCCGTGAAGATGAAGGTCTAGGGAGAGACCACCTGTGAGATGCACGCTGGGGCCTTGGCCCCAGTGACTGAGAGTGAGGCTGGGGGGGGGAGGGGGCTCAGGATAAGTGTTTCCAGGCCAAGCCAGGGTTTGGACGTGGGGGGCGGGTGGTGTCTCAGCTCCAGCCTGCTCCCACTCTCTGCAGGTCCAGTGCCGTTGAGGCCAGGCCTGCGCTCACAGAAGTTTCCAGTTCCTCGGCCCTATGTCAGCTTGGGGAAACCCACCCAAGCCTAGAACCCAAGAAGGAACAAGACGGGGTGGGCGTTGGGGGTCCCCGGGACTCAGGACGCGGGGCCCGGCTACTCTGCTAGGGACGCAGCCGGGGTAGGTGGCCTGGGGCGAGACCCACCTGTCGGCGGGCCCGGGAGATCCAGGTGCGCAGCAGCAGCCCCAGGCGCGGCCCGTGGTTCTTCCGGGTGGTCTTCACGGCGATGAAGACGTCCTCAGGCCGCAGGCGGGGGACGGGGGCGCGGGCGGGTGGCGCGCGCGGGCGGGGGCCCGGGGTCGGGGCCGAGGCCGGGGCGGGGGCGGGCGCGCGGGGCAGCGGTAGCGGCAGTAGGAGCAGAGCGGCCAGGGCCGCGGCCAGCGCGAGGCAGGCCCGACACAGCGCCCCCCGCACACGGCTCATGCGGCCGCCGACTGGCGGGCAGCGCCCGGGCCAAGCGCGCGCCGCGGCCCCTTTAAGAGCCACCCCGCCCGCGCCGCGACCCGGAAGCAGCCAGCCGCGCTGCCCCGGAAGTGGACGGCGCGCCGCGGCGGGGTGGGCGAAGATGCCGCTGCCGGTTCAGGTGTTTAACTTGCAGGTAACCAGCCGCGGCCGGCGGCCCCCCCCCCCCCACCGCGTCCCAGCCGCCGGGCCGGAGCCGAGGCCGAGGCCGAGGCCGGCCGAGCGGCCCGCGCGCCCCGCCCCGAGCCCCGCAGCGTCCCGCGCGTCGGCGCCGGCGGGCCCGCCGCGCTAACGCTCTTTCTCCCCGCAGCAGCCAGCCAGCTCTGTGTCAGGGTCGGGGGGTGCAGAGAGTCAGGACAGGATGAGGGATAGCCCGGCCCCCAGCGCGGCCGCCGCGTCCGTGACAGCGCTGTGCCCCGCGCCCCCCAGCAGTAGGGCAGACGTCTTCCTGCCGGGCACGGCCGGGGACTGCAGCCTGAGCGCCAGCCTGTCGGCCTGTACGCTGCTCTACGAGGTACCGTCCAGGACAGGGGCCCGGGACAGCCAGCCAGCCAGCCAGCCAGCCAGCCAGCGAGCCGGCAGGCGGCCGCCCGCCGCCGGCGCCCCGGGACCCTCCGGGCTGCGGTCGGCGCCGGGCCCGCGGCGGCTCTAACCCGCGCGGCTGCACGGGCTGCTCGGGTTGCGGTCGAGCCCGCGTCTTCCCTGTGGCTCGGAGGAAGCTGCGTCAAGACGGTGGCTGGGAACGTGTAGGGACCGTCGGGGCTGCCCCGCTCTGCGGACGGGCGGAGAGAATCTGCCCGAGCTCCTCTCTGGGAGCCGCTGGTCCTGCGAGGAGCCCTGCGGAGGGGCGGTGCTGGAGGCGGGTGGGGAGGGCCGGCGGAGCTGGGCCCAGGGCGCGGTGAGGGCCTCTCAGCCGCCCTGGGCGGTCCCCTGCTCGAGCTGACGAGGTGCCGTGTTGCAGGGGGCCGTGGAGCCCATGCAGATTGATGTGGACCCCCAGGAGGATCCTCAGAACGCCCCCGATGTCAACTACGTGGTGGAGAACCCTACCCTGGTAGGAGCCTCGCTGGGGGTGTCGGTGATTCTGGGGGTCCAGGCCGGTTGCCCCACTTGGGCCAGGTTCTGCCGTAACCCAGAAACCACTGGGGTTCCTAAGTGCCCTCACGTGACGGTTGTTAGCTTGGGACCCTGCACCCCACCTCTCCCCGGTGGGACACTTGGGTCCCAGGCCACCTGTGTGTTCGTGGGGGTGGGTCTGCGCTGCAGGCTCCAGGCCCCTCGGGCCCAGGGAGGGGTTCAGCGCCCCAGCTGTGGCTCCTGCCTCACACGGTCTCCCCCGCCCCCAGGACCTGGAGCAGTACGCAGCCAGCTACAGCGGCCTGATGCGCATCGAGCGCCTGCAGTTCATCGCGGACCACTGTCCCCCGCTGCGGGTGGAGGCCCTGAAGATGGCCCTGTCCTTCGTGCAGAGGACCTTCAACGTGGATGTGTACGAGGAGATCCACCGGAAGCTCTCGGAGGCCACCAGGTGAGGCCAGGGCCGGGACCGGAGGAGGCGGGCCCGGCCTGCCGTGCCCCTGTCAGGGGCCACCTTGTGCTGCTGTGACACCGGCCCCCACACGCGGCCACTCACAGCAGCACCTGTGCGGCACGGCGGCCTTCCCCGCGGAAGAGCCAGGAAGGTCGTGCCCGGCAGACCAGCCTGGGTGCTCTCCCCTGCCCCAGCAGGGGGAGGTCGGGACTCAGACGTTCTGCACGCCTGTGCTCGGGCCACTGCTCTGACACCGCGCGGAGCTTGTGCCGACGGTGGCTTGTCCCTCTGTCCCCGGGGTGCCCACAGCACTTCTCCCGCTGGGCACCCTGCAGACTGGGTGCCGGGGCTGGGGCAGGGCAGAGGCTCCTAGGAGGGGACTTCCAGCTGCCACGTCAGCCCTGATGGCCAGGCCCTCCCTCAGGGACCTGCAGAGCGCACCGGATGCCATCCCCGAGAGTGGCGTGGACCCCCCGCCACTGGACACAGCCTGGGTGGAGGCCACTCGGAAGAAGGCCCTACTGAAGCTGGAGAAGCTGGACACAGACCTGAAGAACTACAAGGGCAACTCCATCAAGGAGAGCATCAGGTGCCCCCCGGGGCCGGGGGCAGGGGGGCGGCGGGGCGGCCAGGCCCACACGGGACAGTGTCCGCTCACAGCCTGCCCCACAGGCGCGGCCACGACGACCTAGGTGACCACTACCTCGACTGTGGGGACCTCAGCAACGCCCTCAAGTGCTACTCCCGGGCCCGAGACTACTGCACCAGCGCGAAGCATGTCATTAACATGTGCCTCAACGTCATCAAGGTGCGCCCTGCAGTTGAGGGGAGGGGGGACAGCCACACCCTGGGCCCGGAGGGGCATCCCTGGCTGAGCCTGCCCCCCCCCCACCCCACCAGGTCAGCGTGTACCTGCAGAATTGGTCCCACGTGCTGAGCTACGTCAGCAAGGCCGAGTCCACCCCGGAGATCGCAGAGGTAACCGCAGAGGCTGGGGGTGGGGCTCACCCTTCTGTGTGCCCTTGCTGTTTCCCGGCAGGGGTCTCTGGGATCAGCCAAGGGTGGGGAGGCCGTGAGGGGCTCATGTGTGCCGCCTTCCCCTGCAGCAGCGTGGGGAGCGCGACAGCCAGACCCAGGCCATCCTCACCAAGCTCAAGTGCGCTGCAGGTGAGGCCCGCGCTGCCCTCACGGCAGGCGGCCCTGCCGGAGAGGCGGGTGGCCGTCCTCTCGCGGCGCAGACCCTCAGACCCCACACACAGGCCGGGCCGGCTTGCGGTCCGGGGTCAGGAGTGCGGACGCTGCCTCTGACAGCTGCTGTCCGGGCAGCCCCCCTTGGGCCCCCAGAGCAGTGACAGCAGCTGTGCCGGCTTCCTGGGCGCCCGGCCCCCGGAGGGTGCCCTGGGGGCACGCTCGGGTGTCACTCATCTCAAAGGCCAGAACTTCTGTCCCTGGGGCCGAGGAGCCCGGGGCAGGCTGGGCCTCACCCTCCTTCCCCCTCAGGGCTGGCTGAGCTGGCTGCTCGCAAGTACAAGCAGGCAGCCAAGTGCTTCCTGCTGGCCTCCTTTGACCACTGCGACTTCCCCGAGGTGAGAGGCGTCGGGGCACTTGGGGGTGGGGAGGACTCGTGGCCGCTCTGCTGGGGCTTCTCCCCTCACTGTGGGGCCCGAGGCCTCGGCGCTGGGGGCGGTCCGGAGAACAGCGCCAGCTCTGTGCCCCCTCCCTGGCTTCTGTCCAGACCGCAGTGACCCCGGTCTCTTCCCTCAGCTGCTGTCGCCCAGCAACGTGGCCGTGTACGGCGGCCTGTGTGCCCTGGCCACCTTCGACCGGCAGGAGCTGCAGCGCAACGTCATCTCCAGCAGGTGGGGCCCCGGCTGCTGTCCCTGGGGTGGGGGGGTGCGGTGCGGGGCGGGCACGGGGCCGGCTCTGAGGAGTGTGGCTCCCACAGCTCCTTCAAGCTGTTCTTGGAGCTGGAGCCCCAGATCCGAGACATCATCTTCAAGTTCTACGAGTCCAAGTACGCCTCCTGCCTGAAGATGCTGGACGAGATGAAGGTGAGGGGCGGGCCTGCCGGGGGTGGGGGGCACCTCAGGCGGGGGGCAGGGGGTGGGTGACTCGGGTGGGAGGTGGGGCGGCCGCCTCTGACCAGCCCCCCTTGCCAGGACAACCTGCTGCTGGACATGTACCTGGCCCCTCACGTCAGGACCCTGTACACCCAGATTCGCAACCGTGCCCTCATCCAGGTCAGTGGGGGGCTGGGGGGAGGGCGGGTCTAGGCGAGGCGCGGGCTGGGGGCCGCGGCGCTGACCCCCCCGGCTGTGCAGTATTTCAGCCCCTACGTGTCGGCCGACATGCGCAGGATGGCCACTGCCTTCAACACCACGGTGGCGGCGCTGGAGGACGAGCTGACGCAGCTCATCCTGGAGGGCCTCATCAGCGCCCGCATCGACTCCCACAGCAAGGTGGCGGCGGGGCCCCGGGCTGGGGGTGGGTGGCGCGCCGGGGCCGCCGCGCTGACCTGCCCGCGCCCGCGCCCCGCCCCCAGATCCTGCACGCCCGGGACGTGGACCAGCGCAGCACCACCTTCGAGAAGTCGCTGCTCATGGGCCGGGAGTTCCAGCGGCGCGCCAAGGCCACGATCCTGCGGGCGGCCGTGCTGCGCAACCAGGTCCACGTGAAGTCCCCGCCCCGGGAGGGGGGCCAGGGCGAGCTGACGCCGGCCAACAGCCAGTCCCGGATGAGCACCAACATGTGAGGGGGCGGCCCCGTGCGCCTCCAGGACGCCCTGCGTGCCCCACCCACGGCCCGCCGACTCGGACTCCCGGGCCCGCTGCTGCCAGCACTTCTGGGGGGCCCCTGCCGTGTGCCCGGGGCGCAGGGCCCACCTGGGGCCCCGCCTCCCCGCACCCCCTGCCCTGGCATCCTCTGGGGCTGCAGACAGTTGTGAGTCTTAGTTCATTAAAGAGCAGCCTGAGAACACCCCCTCGTACGGTGCCTTCTGCGGCGGCCCTGGGGTCGGCTCCGGGCCCCCCTTCCCCCCCCGGGCAGGGTGACGCTTGCACCCTCCCACCACTCAGATGGGGCGTCTCTGGGCTCAGAGGCCAAGGGAGGGGGCCCCCTGCCAGCCCCCCCGGTCTCCCAGCTGCGTGGGCCCAGACCCCTCCCCGCGAGCGGCTGCGGCTGCGGCTGCGGCACCACAGGCTGGTTCTGCGCGTGTCTGCGAGGTTTATTGTCCGGTCGGGGTGCACACGGCTGCGGGGGCGGGGCTGGTCCAGCCCAGGGCCCCGCTCGCTGTGCGGCTCTGGGCCCCGCGGCCTCGGGGGCCGCGAGCTCGTCCTTCCACGCGAGAGCGCCGGAGGTTCCCTGAGCGAAGGCGTCTCCTCACGGGGACGTGGAGGGGCGGGGCCCTGGCCCCCGCCGGCCCTTCAGGCCAGGGCACTGCCCACGACCTCAGGGAGGCCTCCTGGGTCCCCAGGCCCTGCTGGCTGTGGCTCCTGCAGCTGGGGCTGGGCCGCCTTCCAGGCCAGAGACTTCTCCAGTTTGGTCTTAAAGAGCAGCCCGTGACCTGGCAAAGGGGCGGGCGGGGAGGGAATGGGCTGAGGCGCCCCCAGCCCGGGGGGCAGGGGGGGGGGGGGGGTGGCGGCCCTCACCTGGGCAGTCGGCGGTCTCTCTGAAGGCACGCTTCTTGCAGCAGCCGCGGCACAGGCTGAACACGCACCTGTTGCCCTGCGCACGGAAGGGCCAGTGAGCCTGTGCTGGGGGGCTGCACCCGGCAGACGGCGCAGGACAGCCCCCGTGGGTGCCGGGGGGCCAGCTCACCTTCGGGTTCCCGCACTGGTCACACTTGGCGTATTTTGCTGTGGAGAGTTGCGCGCAGAGGGCCCGGGTGAGCGGGGCCTGCTCCCTCCGCAGCGGCCCCAGCCCCGTGCAGAGCCCGCGGGCGTCCCTGCCCACCGCGGCCGCCCCGGCCGCTAGGAGGAGGGCACAAAGCTCGGCCGACTCAGGGCCTGCAGCCCCCAGGCCTCCGGGGCCCGTCCCACCTGCCTGGCCCAAGCCCCTGGGCGTCTCCCACTGCCTGGGGTCGGGCAGCAGCTGCGGCAGCTTACGCTTCAGCGAGGGGTCGAAGGTCTTGTGGGGGTTCCTCAGCTGCTTCTTCTGCTTGTTCTTGGACAGGGTGTCCCCACCGCCCTCCTCCTCCTCCAGGGCCCGCTTGCTGCGGGGGCCTGTGCGCTCCTGGCCCGCCTCCTTGGGCCTGAGAGGGAAGGTCGTTGGGCAGACTCGGGGGAGCGGGGGGGGGGGGGGGAGGCCTCCAGGGCCTGAGCCACTGAGCCCCAGGCAGGGCTGTGGCCACGGGCAGCACCTGGCCTCGCCTCTGAGTGCCCAGAGGAAACCCACCCAGGATCGGAGGGAAAGGGGGAGAAGGTTCAAGACCGCAGCACCCACAAGCGGGAGAGGCGCTGGGCTCCTGGGGGCGTGGAGCGGAGAGGGCTGTGCCCTGCCTGGCCGCCCCAGACCCTGCCTGCGGGCTCACCCCGGCCGGAGGTAGGGCTGGCAGATCCAGTGGAAGAAAGGCAGGCCGCCCGAGGGCTCCTCCCCCTCCTTCTGCCTGCACATGTCCTCCTGCAAAAGCCCCGAGGGCCCTGGTCAGCAGCCCAGCCCCACCTGCATGTGCGGGGCGGGGCGGCTCCCAACCCCCCCCCCACATGCCTGACACCGCAACTTCAGCTCCTGGCTCACGGCGGCGACGCCCTCCAGGGTCTTCACTTTGGCGAGCTCCTCTCGGAGCTGCTGGTGCACCTGCAGCCTGAGGCAGACGCCCAGCATGGTGGGCCCGGTGCCTAGCTCGGGGCCACCCCCTTGAGCCCCGGGCTGAGGGGAGCAGCCCCCCTCTGTCCCAACCCAGGCCTCCCGCCTGACCCAGCCCTTCCAGGCCCGACCTGGTGGCCAGTGATCCCAGTCCTGCCTCTGAAGACCCCTGCGTCCCAACCCCCCGATGCCCCCGGCGGGCTCGGCTCAGCCCCGACGGCAGAGGCCTGGGGCTGACTCACGTGTGGTGCCACAGCTTGAAGAGGTGGGCCCGGACGCAGGACAGGGGGCAGGGGTGCTGGCGCACGAGGGCCAGGTACTCCTCGGCCAGCTCCCACACGGCGGGGCTGCGGCCCTCGAACAGGGCCGGGTTGTGCAGGTTGCCCTCTGCAGGGGTGCAGGGGGCCGAGACTGAGGGCACTCGCGTCCCGCAGGGACACGCCCCTCCCCAGGCCACGCCACACCGACGACAGGCGGCCGCCCAGCCCCACGCCAGCCCCTGGCTGGGGGCTCGGGCCCAGGCCCTTCAGCGGGGCCCAGGGTGTCACGGCGTGGACACCCCGAGGCCCGGGCAGCGGCACCCGCTCACCTGCGCTCATGACCCCCTGCACGCCGGTGTCCCGGATGCAGCGTTCCACGTCCCGCAGGCACTGGATGTTCCCGTTGGCGAACACGGGGATGGACACGGCCCTCCTGTGTGGCAGGAGGGCCCTCAGGAGGGAGCGGCACGGAACCCCCGCCCGCCCGCCCCAGGAAGGGGCCCGGCAGCCGGCGGGGCAGGTGCGCCTCTCCCCCGCCATGGTCGCCCAGGGTGCCCAGGGGCACGCCCGGGGCCAGGGGTATGCCCCACTCACCGCACGGCCCGGATGTGCTCCCAGGACGCGGTGCCCGAGAGGGGCCCCTTCTGCTCCTTCGTGCGCCCGTGCACCGTCAGCAGCTGGGACGACGCAGCAGCGCTGGCTCAGCCCCCGCCCGAGCCCAGGGCCCCCCACACTGTGGCTTCTGGGCGCCAAGCTCCACGCAGAGCGGAGGAAGGGCTGCCCGGGGCCTGGGTCTCCCTGGCCCTGCCCCGCACCAGACACCGGGCAGGGCAACCCTGGAAGGCACATAGGGCCAGCCGACGCCCTAGGGTGCAGCCAGGGTGCAGCTGAGAAGCCCAGTCCCGTTCGGGGGGCCAGGCACGCCCACCACCCCAGGCCAAGGCACGAGGGAGGGACACCCACCTGACCCCAGGGCTGGTGGGGGCTGGGGGGAAGGCCTGGCACCGCCCCCTCGCTTAGCACTCGCCTCCTTCACGAGAGCGGCAATGGGCTCCCCCACCCTCATCAGGCCTCGAGGTCGCCGTGGTTCCTCTCCCCCCCACCCCGAGGGCCAGCTGTCCTGGGGACGGTCCCAGGAGCAGGGACCCCCAGCCCCTCACCTGGCAGCCGGCCTTCTCCAGCATCTGGGCGTACCGCACAGTCTTGTCGACCTCCGGGAAGACACGGATCTTGCAGGTGATCGGGACGGACAGCCTCTCGTGGGCCAGCTGAACTGGGGCAAAGGAGAGTCGGCCTCTGAGACCCGCCGTGCACACCGCGCCCTGCGGGTCGGGCGGTGGGGACCCACGGCTGAGGGTGTCTCCGCCGGCCACCACCCTCCCCCGCCCCGGCCCCACACGTGGCGCGTGGCCGACTCACTCATTCTCTGGAGCAGGTCCCACTCCTCCTGCAGGAAGGCTCCGTAGTGGCCTGCGGGGACAAGCACGGCCCTCTGCACCCCTCCTCCTCCTGTGTCCACCCACACCACGAGCTGACCCGCCGGGCAGGCCCCAGCACCCCGTGTGCACCGCACACCGTCCAGAGCCCTGGGCTGACGCCTCCCCGAGCGGGTGTCTCTGGCAGACGGTCAGAGACGCCCGCGCTCCAGGGTGCCGAAGGGTGGGCCGCCCCGTGCGGTCCCTGACCATGCAGCCACTGCTCAGGCCCGGCGGAGGGAAGGCCGGCCCCTCACCAGGGCAACGACCACTGGGGCTGCATGCCTCCCAGGGTGACAGGGGTCTCCTGTGGGCAGAGCACGTCTACCCAGAGGAGCCTGATGCGCCGTCGGCCTCTGAGACCCAGCAGCACCCTGCCCCCCCTGTCCCCTGCCCCGGGCACCCCGGGCCCCGCACTCACCCCGCTTCGCGATCATCTGTGGGCAGCCCAGGTTCAGGTCGATGGCGTCGCAGTAGTCCTGCGCCAGGAGTCCCGCCTGGACGAACACCTCCGGGTCGTTGGCACAGAACTGGGAGGGACGGGACGGTCACCATAGGCTCGAGCCAGGCCCTGGCCCTGGGCCGCCCACCAGGGTTCCCATTGGACCCTGTGGGGTGTGGCCCCAGGGGCAGACTGGAGGCTGGCCTCCTGTCCCTGGCGCTTACAGAACAACTCAGTTTGGACCCACGCCCACGCACTGGATGCACAGACTCTCTCTCCGCTGCGGGGAGGACCCGGGCTCACAGAGTTGCCAAGAGCAGAGCCAAGCGTCTGCACGACTCTGACACAGAGCCTGGCTGTCCGGTCGCCGGGGTCTGAGCCACAGCCCAGGAAGAGGCCCAGCTCTGGGAAAGGCTTCCGTGGCCCCCCCCCCCCCCCCTCCCCTCCCTCCCACCGGGGCCCACGAGAAGGCGCTCCCAGGCGTCCGGGAGCCAGGCCTGCGCACCTGCACGATGAGGGGCCGGTCCTCAGGGCACACCTCGCAGTACAGGTTCTCCTTCCGGTAGTTGGCGTCTCGGACAAAGACCTGGGCGTGCAGCATGGGCGTGTAGCACAGCTGGGCCCCGTGGCGGCGACTCAGCAGCCTCCAGGCCAGCTCACTCTGGTCCACCATGGGGGCTACCACGTGGCGGGCGCCCCCCAGGGTGCGGCTCCAGAACTCGAAGCCTTGCAGCTTTGGCATCTCTCCACACTGGGGGGGCGGGGGGGACAGGGGCTCAGCCATCCCACGGAGCCGCACAGGCTGAGGACCAAACTGTCCCCAAGACCACACCCCGGTGCTGTCACTCCCCACGGAGACCTGGGCCCTCCCTGCTCCCTGGCTGGGCTGGCATGGGGCAAATGACACCGTGGAAGCAGCATCTCACAGGGTGCCTGGGCACTGCAGGCCCCCAGGACAAGAAGCTGTAATTACAAGGCCTGGGGATCCCAAGGCGGGACCACCCAGTGGGGACATCCCTGAAGATGTGAATCAGGGTGACCCTTTTGCCCGGTCTCCTGGGTGACAGATGGGACCTGGGCGGCTCACCAGGGAGCTCAGGGGCAGCACTCCCCGCCGCTTGGAGGGAACCGCCCTCCCGGCGCAGACGGGATCGGACCCGTGGGGACGCGCGCCCCGACAGCTCTTACTCCAGGGGACCGGGCCGGCGATCGCTGAGCACGACCATAACTCTAGTGACCGAGAGCCCAGCTGTGCGTGGGGTGTTTTTGGAAACTGAAATTACATATAAGAAAACTACCTAAATGTCACCGGGGTCCCCAAGCACGCAGGGCACGCGCAGCCCCCGTGAAGCAGGAGCCAGGCGGCCGCAACCCCAAGCGAGACCCTGCGGGAAACGCACCTGAGTTGGCCCAGGCTGGGCGCCCCCCGGCGGGGTCCTCCGGGCGGCGTGCGGGGCTCCGGGCTCGCGCAGGGTGCAGGGGCCGCCTGCTCAGGGCTGCCGCCGGGCCGCAGCCGAGCCCAGGGCTCCGTGCCGGGGCTGCCGGAAGGTGCGTCCGCCAGGGCGGTCCGGGCGGCCCGCGGTGCAGCGGGAAACGCGTCCCCGGGAAACTACGCCCGGTCGAGGAGGGGCCGGCCCGCGGCGGAAGGCCCGCGCGCTGTCAGAGCTCAGAGGGCGGACGGAGGCCGGCTCGGCGCCCCCGGAGTCCCGCCTGTGCCCACTGCCCGAGCCGTGGGGACTTGCTGGCCCCGCCGCCGGTCGCTGAAGCCGGTGTCAGTAGGGTGCCGCCCGCCGCCTGGGGTCGAGCCCAAGCCCGTGTCCCTCCCGAGGCTGAGATCGCGGAAAGTGGGGACCGCGGCTGCTCGGGGGCCAGCGCTTAGGGTCCTCTCCCCGACCCGGGCCCCGGAAGCCGCCGCTCCTCATGACCCTGTGGTTCCCTCCTGCCTCGGTCTCTCCCGCGCCTCCTGCGCGCAGGTCACGGCCCCGCGGCCCAGCGCCGTGCGGGCGGGTCCCGGTCTCTGAACGGCAGCGATCCGCAGAGGCGCTGGAGCAGCCGCCGGGCGACGGCGGCGGCAGTGGCGTCGCGCACCCTCCCGGGAGGCGGCGCTACAGGGCCGCCCAGCGAGAGGGCAGACCTGGGGCGCAGTGCCAGGTCTGCCCGGCTCCGACTCGGGGCCGCGCCGTCTCCCCGTGCCTCCCTCGCCTCCCGCGGGGATGGAGTCCAGCCGCGCAGGACGTGGGTCGCGGGCCTCAAGGTCCCCTCTGGCCGGCGCACCTGCGGACTCGCGGGGAAGGCTGCGTCAGACCCTTCCCTTTTGGGGTGTTTTTTTAAAAGGATTTATTTATTTATTTAAATGTGTGTGTGTGTGTGTGTGTGTGTGTTTTTAATTTCCATTTATTTATTTTTTAGAGAGGGGGAAGGGAAGAAGAAAGAGAAGAGAATGAAACATCAGTGTGTGGTTGCCTCTCACGTCCAGCTACTGGGGACCTGGCTGGGCAACCCAGGCATGTGCCGCGACTGGGAATTGAACTGGTGACGCTTTGGTTCTCAGGTCCACGCTCAATCCACTGAGCTACACCAGCCAGGGTTGAAATGTTACTTAAAAAAAAAAAAAGATTTTATGTATTAAAGAGAGGAGATGGGAGGGAGAAAGAGAGGGAGAGAAATAGGTGTCCCAGCCAGGAGTTAAACTGGTGACCTTTTGAGTTTACGGGACGATTTGAAACCCGCTGAGCCACACTTGCTGGGGCTCCCAGTTCCTCTCTGTGGCTTTCAGGGAGCTGGCGGAGCCCTGACGCCTGGGCTGGGCCTCCAGAGGAGCGGGTGCAGGAGCCGAGCAAACGTCCTTCCGAAGGCGACACAGAACTGGGCACATTGTTAACAGCAGCCATGCCAGGACCCCGGGAGTTGACAACATGCACACAGCACTGGAGAAACACTTCCTCTTTTGTTGTTGCTGTTGTTGAAGTTACTGAACGTTGGTGAGAAGGAACAAAGGGGGGTCTGAGGGGCTAAAGCTTCCCTTAGAAGGGGAGGGCAGGTAAATGCTTCCCAGACAAGGTCAAGTTACAGGAGCTCATCATCACCCAGCCCTATGCACGTGAAATGTTAAAGGGACTTATCTAAGAAAAAGAAGATGATCGAAAATTTGAACAGTAAAATGATAAACTCACAACCATCAATAATCGAACCTGAAGAAAACAAAAACAAACTCAGCAAACAACTAGAACAGGAACAGAATCACAGAAAGGGAGATCACACGGGGGGTTAGCAGCAGGGAGGGGGGAGAATGGTGGGAGGGTAGGTACAGGGAATAAGAAGCAGAATAGGTAGGTACAAAATAGGGGAGGGTAAGAATAGTACAGGAAATGGAGAGGCCAAAGAACTTATACGTGTGACCCATGGACATGAACTAAGGGGGGCAATTTGGTTGGGGGCGTGCAGGGCGCAGGGGAATAAAGGGGGAAATTGGGACAACTGTAACGGCATAATCAATAAGATGTATTTTAAAAATATTCCCATAAAATCAAGCCCAGGCTCAGATGACGTTTATGAGCTGCAGGAGGCACTGAAGAAGGGACACCACTGGGGTGGGGGGTGAGAGGCAGAAAACTGTCCTCGAACAACAACTAAAATAAAATAAAATAAAATAATGGACCCCAACCCTTTAAAACTCTTCTAGAAAACACAGCAGAGAACAAGACTCAACTGACTCCAACAGGCCAGTGTGGTTTCAGTGCCCAGACCAGTCACGGGGCTACAGGGAAAGGAAACTACGCACAAATGCCCCTCATGAGCAGACACGAAAATCTTGAAGATGCCAGCAAACTTAATCCAGCACCACACAGAAAATTATATCCACCCTGGCTGGCTGGCTCAGTGGGCTGGGTGCTGGCCTGCAAACCAAAGGGTCGAGGGTTTGATCCCCAGTCAGGGCACAGGCCTGGGTTGCGGGCCAGGTCCCCAGTAGGGGGCACACTAGAGGCAACCACACAAGATGTTTCCCTCTTTCTCCTTCCCTTCTCCTCTGTAAAAATAAAATAAAATATTTAAAAACTGACATCCCATAACCAAGTGCTATATTTATCGTGGAAGCAAAAGGCTGCTTTATTATCTGAAAATCAATAAATGTAATACACCATATTGATAGAATTAAGTACAAAAACCACATGATTATCTCAATCGGTGCACAAAAAATCTTCAACAAAATACAACATCTATTCATGATGTAAGAAAAACAGACCTCGATGAACTAGGACTAGAGGGGAACTTTCTAAACTTGATCGAGTATCTGCAAAGGACTCCAACCGCACAGCGAATACCACTCTTGGTGGTGCCGGAGGACCGCTTGCTCGTCTCCTAAGTTCAGGCACGGGGCGTGTCCTGCTCCCACCGGTCTCTCTGCAACCCGCAGGGACGGCTCCCCCAGCAGAACAGGGCAAGACAAACGAAATAAAAGGCGGACACAGAGCAACAAGGGAAATGTCCCTTTCGCCTTTCCGTACAGAGCACAACTGGCTACATAGAATTTCCTAAGGAGTCTAAAAAAAAAAAAAACACAAAACAAACCAAAACAGTGCACTGTCCAACAAGTAAGTTCAGCAAGGTCACTACACAAAAAGGAGTCGCATTTTGCCCACTAACGACAAACACGTGCGAAACGAAATTGCCGTTTCAGCACCACTTACAATCGCTCCAAAGGAGATTCCACACTTAAGTGTGAGTCACACGCACGAGCGCGGGACCCGTGTGCCAGCGACCGCAGTACGCGATCCTGGCGGCAGAGTTCGGGAGAGACGCCCTCCGTGCCCGCGGGGCCGAGCAGCCGAGGCTGCGGACGCCGTGGAGGCGTCAACTCTGCCGAACAATCGGTGCGCGCCGGGCGGGTCTACCGGAAACGCGGCAAGGTCGGCGGGAGCGCGGACAAGCCCGGAGCGGCCACCGCCGCTGTGACAGAGAAGCAGAACGGGGAGGAGTCACGGCGGCTGGCGCGGAGGTGACAGCAGATGGCGCCAGATGGCGGTCCACACCCGCGGGGAGAGTGGGCGGCGGGAGCCGAACGGGGCGTGAGGTCACCGTGGCCCCGCCGGGCGCCCCCTCTCCTCTCCTCCCCTGGCACCTTGGTCCCTGACGAGCGGTAAGATGGCCGTCACACAGTGGGTACCTCCCTACAAACACACAGACTCCCCAAAACTGGCTCAAGAAGAAACAAAGACGCAGGCAGACCCGTCCGTCGCCAGCGGAGACTCCGGGTTCTCTCCTCTGCGTCCTGGACACGGCTCAGCACGGAAAGCGTCGGCCCCTCGGGAAGGGCAGCCCTCCGCGCCCGCAGGGAAATTCTGCCGAGTGACACGAGCCAACCTCCCCGGGTCACTGTGTTTCCGTCCACACAACGGCCTCGGGGTCACGGGCTCGCGGAGGCGGAGAGTGGGGAGGGGCGCGGGGGCGGGGCCCGGAGGGGGCGGGGGCGGGACAGAGCCTCGCGGGGTGGGTGGGGGGGGGCGGCAGTTGTGTTGCCGTGGCGGTGGTTGTGCAGATACACAGGTGACGGAACTGTGAGGGCACCCGCACGGGCACGGAGAGCCACAGGCACGCGGTTGTCACGGGGACAAGGGCACGCAGAGCCTCCTGCGTGCTTTTCTTTGCAACCTTCTGTCAATCTCTCCGTGTGGTTCTCAAGCTTAAAAACACTTTGCAGTAGCTAAGACACGGGGACAGCCCAGTGTCCCGTGACCAATGACGAGTGGGGACAGAAATGTGACGCGGGATGTCTGCCACTGGGGGACAACGGGGACGGCCCCGAGAGCGTTCTGCTACGTGAGGTGAGTCGGCCAGAGAGGGCGGACACCGCAGGGCCGCACGCGTGGGTGGGACCGAAACGTCCAGCTCGCGGGGAGGGAGGCTGGACCGGCGGCTGCCAGCGGCTGGGGGGTGGGAGGGGGCTCCGACCAGAGGGCCCCGCGGCCTTCCGGCTGTGCGGCGAGGGGCTCCGGGGCGCTGGCACCCAGCAGCGTGGCAGTGGGGAACGCCACCATTGGAAGGCACTGTGGGAGCAGACCTGAAGCGCCCTCGTTGTCACGGCAACAACAAAGGTCATCTCGGAAGGCGAGGGGGGTTGACGTCCCCGAGCACCTGGCACCAGGTAGACACGTCACAGCGTCGCCTACGAGCACGCAGGCTTGGGGTGTTCCTAGTCTTTAAAAAACCCCACGTGGGTGAACACTGACTCTAAATGTAAGAGCTGGGCCCGCGTCGGAGGGCACCGCCAGGACAGCCGCCACGGGGGGCGAGGGAGGGGTCCCACGCGGGGGGGATGGGCACTCAGGTCACCGGCACTTTGCTCCCGGGAAGGGAAGTTGGGGGTCTTGTCATAGGTCCCGGGTCCGAGCCTACCCGCTGGCCACCGTGCCACCTCCCCCAGAGCTTCTTTGCCACCTGTGTCTTCGCTGTTGAAGTGTCTGTTCCAACTCTTTGCCCGTTAAAAAATTAAATTGTTTTCCTTTTGTTGACTTTTGAGTTCTTTAAATATTCTGGGTACAAACCCTTTGTGAGATGTGATTTGCAAAATACTTTCAGAATCTGTGACTTTTTCATTCTTTTAAGTCTTTTTAGAGTCAAAGTGATTAGATAAGATCCAGCTTATTGTTAAAACTGACTTCTATCTGTTGTGCTTTGGTGTCACGTTTAAGAAACATTCGTGTGACCCAGGTTCACACAGATTTTCTCCTGCATTTACCTGCAGAAGTTTTATAGTTTTAGAACTTAAATTTAGTTGTATAATCCATTTTGAGTCAAAAAAGTTTAAAGATTTTATCTTATTTTTAGAGAGGAGGGAGAGACATCAATGTGTGGTTGCCTCTCATGCGCCCCCCACTGGGGACCTGACCTGCAACCCAGGCCTGTGCCCTGACTGGGAATCGAACTGGCGACCCTTTGGTTCACAGGCCGGCACTCAATGCAGTGAGCCACACCAGCCAGGTGCCAGGTGATTTCTTCTTTAACCCGAGTTATTTAGAAGTATATTGTTTGGTTCCTAAATATCTGAGAACAGTCGAGACCTTTTTGCTGTTGGTTCTAATTGTATGCAGCT